TTTTGCCACTGTCGTGCTTCTTTCGCCAAATCAAAAGAACGAACGCGTGCTCCAGCCCGATTTCCGGTTCTGAAAGGCCCGATTCGCAGGCAAACAGTGCGCGCAAAGCAGGCTGCATGGTCATTTCCCATTATTTAAATGCCCCACACTCAAGTCAAAAGTCGAATACGAGCGCGAAAGGTTTGCTGGGAATCGCTAAAAAAATCCATTAATCAGTTTTACTATTATAGACAACATCAGATATATATGAGCTTATCTATACATTTACGTAATAGTTGCGCTATATCATATCATGCATGTTACACAGCATGTTAGTGTGTCACTTGTTATAGATTATTGCCTGTTACGAAACTGGTCTCTCAGGCAAAATAAACATTACGCACGTACACTCTGCTGCGAAAGATAGATAAAGTGAATACCATTTCGACTTGCGCAAAATTGTCAATTACCTTTCATTAGGCATGATGGTTTAGATAACTAGTGTCGGACCATGCTGAGTGGCCACGACTGATGCATGGGCCACGAGCGACCGCAGATGGACCACGAATGACCGCAGATACACCACTAGCGACTACGAATAACCACGAGTATAAAAGACGCGGAACATTTTGGTTTGATGTTTCTCTCTTGTTAATTTCCTGAGATTTGGATAAAATCTATAACTATTACTCATTCATACATCTTCATTCTTCAAATCTTCAATGATTTTGAAAATTCATATTTATTTACTGCATGATTGTAATATGGGTAATTCATGCCTGCTGTTTACTTTGTAATTATATCTTCAAACACTGATCAGTAATACTACTAAATGTTTCTACTGGGAATCGAACCCCCAAAACAAGGTGTATCTGCCTCTGGTCTAAATATGTTAGTGCTCTAATGACTAAACTAAAGCTGCCATTTCTGGCTTTCGTAAAGGCCGAGACGCATCGAACGCGATTCGACAACGTGGCGCGATTTTTCAGTTTTTGATTAATAAAACGTACAGCCAATGGAAGGAAGATATGTAGACTAAATAACTCAAAATGTTATGGCTTTTAAAAACATTTGTAACACGTAAACCAGGATTAAAGTAATCGGTCAGTAAAAATCGAAAAATCGCGCCGCGTTGTCGAATCGCGTCCGGTGTGTCTCGACCTTAAACAGTTCACATTTTGTGAGTTTACCACTCCAAGTCGGATCGTTTTCGCTGCATCACCTCTTATTTTAATGGCACTATATTAATGGTATTACACACATACAACTTTAGGAAACACGTACATAGTTTTCACATTCATCAGTTTGTAATTTCGGTTTCGACAATTTAGGAGAAATCGCTGTATCCACGCGCCGATTCAAAGTACTTTCCATAAAGGGTACGCTTCAATTAACTGGTCGAACTCGTCCCACTTCCGAGTGATTGTTGCAAAGGTTGAAGCATGAATACGCTTCTCTTCCTCTTTTATTTCCGGACTGGACTCTGGTACAACGTCTGGGGGCCACTCGCTAGGGTTGCTAAGCCAGGTTGGTTCATGCTGCCACAAGTTACTGTTAAACCCAGGAAAAACTAAGGCCATGATATGCGGTAGCAGACAGATGAGAGCAAAACTTCCTAATTTTCGCCTTTCACTTCTCGGTAAAGAAATCATTCCTGTAACAAGCGCCAAAGATCTCGGCGTAATCTTGGACTCTGGTATGACGTTCGACAGCCATGTACAAGCCACTATCTCCTCATGTATGTCTCGTTTAGGTCAAATAAACCGTGTGAAACATTGCTTTGACAAACACACATTAACAATTATTATTAACTCTCTAGTTTTTTCAAAATTATATTATTGCTCTACAGTCTGGAGCAACACTTCTCAAACAAATTTAAATAAGGTACAGGTAGTGCAGAACTTTGCATGTCGAATAGTTAGCGGAGTTGGCAAATACGATCATGTCACACCAATCCTGCAAGAACTAAAGTGGCTTCCTGTTCGACAGTATTTATATTTTCGTGATGCAGTCATGGCATTTAAATGCATGACAGGAAACGCACCTGCATACCTAACTGAACAGTTTGTGAGACGAGGTGACATTTCATCTCGCGTTACTAGGAACTCGAGCATGATTGAAACTCCTTTACACAGAACAGCAACCGGGCAACGATCTTTCAAATTCAGAATGGCCACAATTTGGAATTCCTTAAAACCAGAACTTAGGGCCTGCGAAACAACGAAAGACTTCAAACATATTTTAAAACAGAGACTTGTAGAAACATTTAAATTTAGGACCAATCTTAAGACATTTTGATGTAAATAGCATATATATTTGTGTAGTACTACCAAGTGTGTGTGTGTGTGTGTGTGTGTGTGTGTGTGTGTGTGTGTTGTGTGACTGTGTGTTGTTATGTGTGTCTCTCTATTATTACAGTGTATAAAAATTTAGATCAATTATGTAAAATTTCGCTGAAAAGCCTTTTAAGGGATGTGAAATTAAAATACAATAATAACAATAACAACTCTGGGACAAACATTACTCTGGGACAAACATATTGAGAAAATATGCAAAAAAGTGGGCGCTGGAATAGCAGTTATGAAACGAATCAAGCCATTTGTCCCTATTGAAACTATGAGATTGATTTATAACGCCCTTATACAGCCATATTTTGATTACTGTTCTCCCCTATGGGATAATTGTTGTGCTTATTTAAAGGAAAAACTTCAAAAATTTCAAAATCGCGCGGCTAGAATAATTGCCGGTGCTAGTTATGAAATTCCATCGGCTGACGTTCTTGAAACTCTTGGTTGGGAAGCACTAGAAGTGAGACGTAAAAGGAATAAAGCAATCTTAATGTATAGAATTTTAAATAATCAAGGTGCATCGAGTTTGAAAGAATCGTTCGCTAGGATTAGTGCTCTGGAAATTAATTACAATCTTAGAAATTCGAGTACTGATTTGGTTCTCCCACATCCCAAAAGAGAATTCCTCAAAAATAGCTTTAAATTTAGCGGGGCGAAACTTTGGAATAGCCACCCTTTGCAAGCAAAACTAGCTCAATCCGAATATACCTGTAAAAGGAATATTAATAGTCTTGATACATAACTTACTTATTTCTTCGTAATCTTGTAAATATCTTGTAAATATTCTTGTAAATAACTTTATTTATTCAAGTGTGTTCCGACGCCTCTCATGGAAATCAGCTTGTAGCTGATGAGGCTAGCGTCGCTTTTTTTCCTTTTTGCTTTTAAATAAAAGTTTACATACATACATACATACTCGTTCTTGGAAACAACTCCACCTCGACTCCCCATATGCAGATCTGCCGGGTTCTCTTTCGTAGGAACATAGTGCCATTTTACTCGATCGTGGTCCTTGACCTTCTTTTTTGATTAACTCGATTCGCGACGATTTGTCGATATTCGCCTTGACCGCCAATCCAGTACAGCGCTACCGTCGAGTCTAGCCAGCAGTGCACGGATGAAACTTTCTCAGTGGCGATCGCTGTTTCGACATTGGACACAAGGTTTACCGCCATGTGTCCACAAGCTCTTGCCGAAGTATTGTAAGGTTTTTCCAAGAGGTTTTTCTTCGCTAAACGAGACCTTGAACAAACTAATCCTTGGGTTGGACCTTATTCTTGTTGAAGAACGGCTAGACTTGGATCAAGTCCGTCTCTCAAGAGTCCGAGGGATCGGACGCGTGAGGTGCAATAACGCGAGAAAGTTTGAGGGAGAAGACGGACTTGGCTCACCTGCAAGCGCGCCAAATTTACCGACCCGTTTTTCCGTCGGTAACGCGCCCCCCTGTAAATTATTATTATGTATTCAAAATGCTGGTTCAAAACGCTCTAATTTGCATAAATTATGCATTTTTCCAGGTTTCGGTTCCAGGTTCCGGTCCCAGGTTCCGGTTCCGGTTCCAGGTTCCGGTTCCTGTATCGTTGTATCGCTTTTTAGTAGTTGAAACATTACCGTTTACAAGATTAAGTTTGTTCATTGTCTCAAGCGCCTGCACGCAGTAAGTTAGTTTCTCACTAAACTAACTTTGAACTCCAGATTGATAATATTCTTTAACATAACACTTAATGATCTTGGATTCCTTCCCATATTTGTCCGTTAGACTGCTTTTGCGCGGTTATAACCCTCCGGGGTAAAGGGCAAGGCTTCTACTGAGTTCTACAAATCGTTTGACCCTTGGGCAATTCACATAGGTCGGTAAATTTAGTGATTGGTGGAATAGAGCTCTTGTCAACTGCCTCAGTAAATTGGCCCCAAAATCTAGGACAATCCATGTGGAACCCTCGAACTTAGAGATGACTAACTTCGGGAGTTTTGCTCAGTGTTTGGGAAAAAGATGCCCCCGCATTCCTTCGTTTACGGTGTATTTTTAGACATGCTAGCAAGCTCGGCTGGAAAATACATATTTTTTTATATTTATGAGAAAACCTCTAAAAGTCTAAACCTGCTTAATAATATAAAGGGCTAACCCTTTAAGCAGATTTAGATTTTTAGAGGCTTTCTCATAAGTATTAAAAATATATGTTTTCCACGAGAGATTTGAATGAATAGTCACACCAAGGTTATTATGTTGAATTACATTTTTTACTGTATCATTTTCATAAAAAAGTGGTGGGTGTATCGGTTTATTACGTTTTGCAGAAAAAGTAATTGTCTGACTTAGTCTTACGACTATTAATTTTAAGTTCCAACTATGGGACCAATCACTAATTTTATTTAGGTCTGAATTTAATTCAATGTTATATTGTACTTGTAGCAAGTAAATGATTGACACAAGTAAATGTTATGCATAAAGAAACTATTTAAGAAGCTGTTTTAAATTCCTAAGAGCAGAAAATCGCGCACTTTTAATACAAGGAGATGCTCTTAACTAAATTTTAATGCATTCACCTTGTCAATATTTTACGCATCATTACGTTCAGCTTTTTGGTAGGGCATTCAATTTTAACAATAAATGATTTCAATAGTTTTCGGGTTTTTTGGGACATCCTGTAGTGCAAATATATAAACACAACGTATCATGCTATGTACTTTAATTAAACTAGAATTTTTTTTATTACAAATTTAGTTTGTTCAAAAATCTCTATATCTATATAGTTTATTATAAACTACCTATATTAATGAAATGCTACAAAAAGTATTAACCTCTAGGCTCTATTAGATATTCTGCAATTTATACAAACGAATTTCAGACGTTTCTTACAAAGATGGCGGCCAATAAAAAGTGACTATAGGGATCCGAAGAACAATACAAACAGCTTCACTATTCATTACGACCTGAAAACCTTTTTCATTAACATACAGCTATTTCAATTAAGGTTGTCCCCCGAGCAAAGCGGAAAAGTCGAATACGAGCGCGAAAGGCTGCTGGGATTCGCTAATAAATTAATGAATTTATCAGCGATTCCCAGCAGCCTTTCGCGCTCGTATTCGACTTTTCCGCTTTGCTCGGGGGACAACCTTAATTGAAATAGCTGTAGTCATAAATGTGAAAACCTGTTTCATTAAAGAGAATATATAAAGAAACAACCTTTCTGGTCCCCATCTTTATAAAAAAATGTCTATATTATACAAAATAAATAAGGTTACAACTATAACATTTTAATGACACAAGAAGTATGCAAATAAATTGCTGCATATCTTTTGACAGTGCTGCATATGCAAAACATAATTATTAATTAGAATCGATACTCAGAGCGCTATCCATCGGATAGTGTTTTTTCAACTGTTCTAAAAATGCTTGAAAAGTGATACGAATATGGATCATATCCCACAATTAATAAAAGGAAACTTCAACTCTTATATATTAAAGTTTAATCTTGCATGGTCATAGTCATATATAAGAAAGCTTGAAAAAACCACTATCTGGCTTTCGTACAATGACTGACCCCCTGTTAAATAGAGTGTTCGATTCAAATATTGTTCGGGTTTTACAACACTTTTTGAATATGTATATCATATGCATATAGCTGAGCTGTGCACCTTTTCGCCATTCGGCAATTACAAGCCGTATCAGAATTTTATTGCTCGTGTAACGAAAATGCATGGTTCTAAATAAAATAATATAGGAATTTAGCTATATGCTAAAAAGGGACTAACATGCCTGGTTATCCGTCACAATGTCGTATTATGGTAATAAACTAACTGCATTTAAATTACATGCATTTTAAATTATATAGATGTGAGTGAATTGGAAACAGGCATAAACATAAGATGGAGAATTAGCTGGAGCTATATATTTAGTATAAATAGTCAAGTAGATGGAATTGCTAAACGCTTTCGTCCAAAGTATATATTATTCTTCTCCAGGATCCGGTCGATAATTATTGATTCCGGTGCAAAACATGTTGTGGAAACTTTCTTTCCAATTTTTAGGCCATTTGTAAATTATATAAAAAAATATTGCTACAGTTGGTATCAAGATGAGAAGTGCGAACAAGAACTGGCCCCAACCAGGATAGGTAACCTTTGCAGTCCATTCTTTTGTCCCATCATAACTTGAACTAAATGGATCCTACAAGAGTTAAAGTTACGTTCATATTATACAGTTAATATCTACATGCATGCATGCAATTATAAGAAGAGCTGAATGACAACTGAAACAAAATGCTAGCTGCATGATGGTTGAGAATGATGAGACAGCTAGCTATAGGTATTTGAAACTGATCATCTTACAAAAGATCTAACTGACAATTAGCTTGAATTTTAGCAGACAGCTACCTGGCTTCCAACATGGAGTGAGCAACACTGATAGCGGTGCATGGGTGCTGGGCGCAAGGAAGATTAATTTTCTAGTATATTGTCAGTACACCGGCGATGCAATTTTCCGTTTCGTACACTACCAGGGTCACCAGTAACAATCAGTGTCGCCACTGTCAGTGTGCGCGCGTCACATCCGGCGAATATGAAATGAGACATTCACCACACGAAATACACGTCTAAACACGCGTATTGTGCTGGCATCAGTACTGTAATTTTGTATCGATCGAGTATTGCTCAGTTTCTTTTTAGTTTTCGTCTTCAAATTAACATTGTTGACATCTCCAAATTCTGAAATCCATTCATCTAAACTTTCGACTGATATAGGTATTGTGTGGTGGCACGTAACTTAAAATTATGTGTGCCAGACGCGCTGCAGAAATGTTTATCCGATAGAGTATTTGGGTGATATTTCGATATTATCGCGCGCGATGTTTTTATTTATGATTATCGTATCGAAGGTAGAAACGTGAGCGAAGATATGCCGTAATTATGGCTATGGTCCATGACTATCGTGATATTGTTTCGTATGTGTGTACATAGTTTCTTTATTAACAGTTTTAAGCTTTTTTAATTTTTCTCGACGATATGCCGGGACTTCGCTATGGACTCATGTGAAAAGAGTCTGTCAACGCTCTGCCGAAAGTCGTGGGTTTCTCCGGTCGCTCCGGTTTCCTCCCACAGGGAAAGTTGACAGAGTGGGTTAGGATAAAGATAATTAGGAAAGTAGTATCACAAATGTTGTAAAAATAAATAGTGTAAGCTTAGTTATAAGTTATACAAGTAAGCGTATAATACTGGCTAGATGTAATTGCATGGTCACTGAAAAGTCCCGATAGGGAGTGAGCTGAATAATCATAATCATGCATAATCATGATAATCATGATATGATTTTTAAGTATCGCCTAACTCCGCTTCGTGAAAAACCAATACCAGCCAACAATTTCAAAAAGTATAAGACAAAACACAATCCGAAGATTAGCATCTTCAATCATGGAAATTAATTCGCAGACAAAACAATAATCTCCCAAATGTTCCCCCCTCTCCCCTATACAATGTTGATGTGTGCATGAGTTCACTGCCAAAGGTCTATGTTATATGATCATATAAATACATCTGCCTATCCCATGCACGAGTGCCATTACGAGGCTCTTCCACTAAGCTCTTTTTGCCTCATCCCCACTCTAACTTTCTTGAAAAAAAGTCTGAGTTTTAGAGGCTGAGGTAAAACTGTGGAATAGACTCTCAGAAGAATTAAGGACTAAGGATTCTCTTTATTCCTTTAATACCAATTTTACAATGCCTGGCCAGTAATCATATTATTGTAGTTTTATTTAAATATGTAATCATAGACAATCCAGAAGAAATGTCTTCTGGATTGTCTATGATATTATGTAATGTAGTGTCTCTGATGTAAATATGTTTTTGCTATTTTTTATGAATACCTACGTCCCCCTTGGAAATCTTTCTGCTGTAGGGGTTAGCCGTGGTGAAATAACGTTTCACCTACCTATACCTACCTACCTACCTACCTACCTACCTACCTACCTACCTACCTACCTACCTGACACGAGGTAGCTATATTTGCGCGAATACTGCACAAAACCTTATTTCTTGCTCAGCAAAGATAAAACATGCGCAAAACAAATATTACTGATATTTCTTAGAAATATTAGTAATATTTCTTTATAGTTAGTAATATTTCTGCTATATAGTTTATGCTTATACTTGACATGTGTATATGAAAACGCTTACGCGAGACCATACTTTTGGGCTCGAATTCTTGCCATATAGCTGTGCTTGAATTCGTCTGTAGGTTTCACATGAGGGTGTGAACACAACTGAAGCGAAATCGTGAAAATTTGTGAGCGGTTCCGAATTTATCATCTGATGAGCCTCAGCAATTAAATATACATTTAAGATATTTCTCATTTATATACATACCTGTACACAACCAACAAAGACATCGTAGGCAGCGCTACTTTTACAAAGATCATAAACAGTAGCAATGACAACAATGAATAAGGCTAAAGGTGAGATATATTTCCAACAGATCATCCAACCTATCCATGGTCTCTTGCCTGTCATATCCTCAATATCATCAGCGAATCTATAGGAGGTTATAATATTTTTAATCAAACATTTACAGAATTATACAAATACAACACGGAAATTATAAATAATTTAATATAATTTCATAGTTGCTGTTACACAAATAGCTTAGTTTTCTCAATACAAATATTAGTTCACGCGATAGAGAGTCCATGACACAAGGCGGAAACTACAGTCACGGAAGTATCATCCGGCATATAGACATTTTTTAAAAGTTAAAACGTATCGTGTCTGACCATTTTGTAAAGCCATTTTATGCTTAGTTAATACAAACGTCCATGATCGCTAGAAATAGTAACTTGCTCTCCCCCTAGCCATAGCCTATCGAAGGGAAGATGGTTGTGAAACTCATTGGAATAACAATATAACTCCCGTACTGAAAGAATTACATTAGTTACCGATTAAATATCGAATAAATTTTAAAATAATTCTCCTAGTTTACAAGTCACTACATAACCTAGCTCCAGATTATCTTCACAAAATTATTGAAGAAAGATGTCCTACACGTACACTTCGATCCTCCCGATGTTCACTGCTTTCCACTCCAAAGATATACACCACGGCATATGGAAAGCGTGCTTTTTCTCATGCTACTCACGCTACCCCGGAACGTACTTTGGAACTCTTTACTAGAATGCATTAAATCCGCTGAGTCTATTTTAGAATTTAAATCTTCTTTGAAGACTTATTTGTTTGAGGAGGCATATGCTTGCTAACATTATAGCTAATATATCATATATGAAAACACTTTAATTATTCCACTAAATCTGTTTTATCTGTAATATAAGTTTAAATTTTAACTAATATATAATGTAAATATATTAACTATTTCAGTAAATTTAAATAGTTTTAAGCCATTGTAAGCGCATTGAGATTTTTAAATGCGCATAAGAACATCATCATCATGATCATCATCATCATTATTATTATTATTTATCTGTGTTAGTCAACGTTTATTCATAACTCTGGTCCTTGGAAAATATACAATAGGCACATGACGGTGAAGGACCAGATTTATGAATAAACTTTGACTAACATAGATAATGATCCATCATCCAGTTATAGTGTTGTGAGTACAATATTGCACAATATTGGTTATGATTATTGGATGACCCATGCAAGTTAATACTGTATATAGGGGAGAGGAGAATTTTTGGACATTCTTAATAGTCGGCTATAATTAAACCGATTCAAGTTGGTGTATCAAATTGATTTTAACACTGCAAGTTTTCTATTGATTTCCATAATACTGCAAGTGTACATTAAATATAGATTCATATATGAAAGAGCAAAACGAGTTATGCATGTATACTCAAGAATTGTAAGAGAATTAGAAGATACTGCACAGACATTTCGTATACTGTTCCCTACACCTTTAAAAGATCAGTGAATGATTAAGACGGATGAATTGATATATAGCAGTTTACCTGTCATTTCCGTAGACCCAAGCCACAGCGATACATTGGAAGAAAGCAATAATTAGTAAGGGGAGCGACACTGCTCCGTCAAATATTTGAAATACATAAAAACCATTTCCAGCAACAAACGCAATTCCAATTAAAAACAACACAACTGCCAGAATTGCTGTAAATACAATAAAACGCTTAAATAAATATTTCAATTTATGATTATGATTATGCAATTGTAAAGTTTGTCAGTGAGTTTCGAAACGTTGGGTTGTGAACAGAGGCCGCGAAAGTGGAGGGGCATTGACCAAAAGGGGCACTTTTGTATATGACCAAAATCAAACGATTTTATAAAAAAAATGTTTTTGAAAATATGGAGTCTCTATAATGTTGGAAATGGCCTTTACAGAGTCTTTACCACTGCAAAAAGGGTACTTTCTTTCCGGCCAGCAAAACAGGGCGTTCATTCAAGAAATCCTTTTTTCGTTCGGTAAATAGGGCACTTTAGCCCAGAAAAAAGAGCACTTTCTCACTTTTTAAAAAAGTAGGGGGGGGGGGGGGCACATGCCCCCATTGCTCCCTACCGGTTCCACGGTCCCTGGTTGTGAATGCAATTCAACTGGGCTTTGCATTCAGTAAGTCTCCAGTGTCACAGTTTTGAGCGTGCCTACGTGATTTTCAAAACTTGATTTGACTTGACCCAATTCGTAAAATCGCCGCGCGGTTCCTGTAACAGCGCGATTTATTAACGATTAGACTGTGGCTTAGTTGCGGTGAGCCGGGTACGATTAGTTGCTGTGGTTAGTTGATAATGACTTCAAGAATATACCACAGAGTAACCACCATCTTTGTTATCCGTTATTTTGAATAGTACTAGCTGTATGTAAATGCGTGTAAATTACACTGATTTACCTGTATTAACTTCTTTTCTCCATTTCTTGGGAAAAATTCCAATCTCCATCATTGGTCCCACAATTGCCTCAAGTGTTCCAAACTCACTGTCAATACCCAACAATATCAACATAAAGAAAAACAACACTGCCCAAAATGGCGACAAGTCTAGTTGAAGGAGAGCATCAGAGAACGCCATGAACGCCAAACCTGGTCCACTACCCACCTATATAATTATAACTGACGTTACCAAACTGGCGTTCTAAATCAACAATGATCATCATTTTAAACTGAAAGGACTTTTTGATTATACACGGCTAAAAACGCACAGGTTGTTCCAAGTTGATATCGACAGGCGTGAACAATGTTGTGCGGCCAACTATGAACAAGTTGTCAACCATGTTGTTCCAAGTTGTTACAGTTGAACAATGTTGTAACAACATGTTGACAATACTGTTCATAGTGGGCCGCACAACCTTGTTCACGCCTGTTGATATCAACCTGGAACAAGTTGTTGATTTTCTCAATTTTTACGCGTGTAGATTCATGTTTCGCTGTTCATGAGTCAGCGGTTAGGGTTAGAGTCAGGGGGTATATACTTCGTGTGACCCCTATTATTATGTATCAAGGCGAACACCTGACCCCAACCCCGCCTCTAACCTCTAACCTCGATTGGATTCCCCCGCCTGATATGGACATTACTTATACAGAGCAAAATGAGCTCTAATTATTACGGTGCAAAAACTGATCATGCAGGGTCAAATGAAGTATCTACCAGTCAGGGCAAGGACAGGGCTCAACATTCATAAACAGTGAGACATGAATCTGTAACCCATTTTTTGCCAAAAATTACCGCTGCAAACACAGAACTATTTTGTTGAAATGAAGAGAATAAAAACATTCCTGTAATAAACGAATTATTCGTTGTTTGTTTTTATGCTGGATGCCTCAAGAAAGTGAACACACGACAAAAAACGCCGAGCCCGCTGCTCAACATGATTGAACAATGTTTTGCTGCCCACGTTGTTCACACTTGTCAACAATATTGAACAGTTTTGTCGAGCCTGAATCGGGTGTAACAACATTGTTCAATATTGTTGACAGCTATGAACAAAGTGGGCAGCAAAACATTGTCAACTAGTTTCATATTAATCTGACACTGCAATCGACCAACGAAAAATTCGTTGGCTCGAGTTTTTCGTATCTCTGAGGATGGTTCTGAAATAAAACATTGTTCAATCCTGTTTTCATCAGTATTGCATCAACCTGAGCGTTTTTTTTGCCGTGTAGTTGAGTTGTATGCTTTATTAATACTAAACAAAATTAAATATCAAATATTGAACAATATTGTTACACCCGATTCAAGCTCAATAATATTGTTCAATATTGTTGACAAGTGTGAACAACGTGGGCAGCAAAACATTGTTCAATCCTGTTAAATAGCGGGCTCAGCGTTTACGCGTGTATATAACATTTTTTTTCTCAGCGGTTTTCTATAACTGAGTACTTCATGTAAAAAGAAAATAGGGGATCTTGAGAACTATAGTTATTTTTTGTTAGGAAAGGACGATTAATTGATGAATATTTACATTGGAAGAAGATTATAAAATATAGAATAAATTTCAGACAATTTTTTCCCATGGCTGACCATCATGAGTATATTTTTTCTCCCAAACAGAAAATTTCCTTCAAGTTCAAGAGTTTTATAACAGACAACTCATCGTTCTGACCTACTTACATACAATTTTGGAAAAATTTCAATGATTTTGACGTGTATGTACTTCCTCGGTGGTGAGGAACTGTCATATAATTATTTTTTCTTCAGGAAATTATGGCTAATTGAGCTTAATTGAAAGGGCTTAAGAATAGTTAAAACACTACATTAGATTTTTATGCATGCTTATTAGATGTGTCTTACTAAATCGCAAAGTATTTTAATAGATCGTATTTAGCCTACAGCTGACTTTGCTTGTCTATTTTCCCAAAGATTTTTCTCTAGTAAGTAAATGCTTAGTAAAAAAATTTAAATTCGTTAGAAAAGCTTCTTTATCCTTGCCCAGTCCCCCGTGCAGCCTCCTTGCGGAATTTCTATATTTTGGGGGACAAAAAACTTTCGGTTAATTGATTGAAATATGTAAATTTCCCTAAATGTCAACTTCACCGCTGGAGTTTGGCAAAAATTCAAATTTTGGACGGCTAACCCACAGACAGCTCGGTCTCAGACAATCGCGTGCAAAAATAATGAGACTTTTGATATTTCGTTCTATTTCTGTGATTACTTCCCCCCTCCCTTCTATTTAATGTTGAAAAAAAATTGACCTGCACAGGATTGTAGGGTTCATATTCTCAGTTAATAAGCAGCCAATCTTGTATCAAGAGATTTTTAGGGCCTTCAAGGCCACCCCCCTCGGCCTATAACAGAATCATACATTCTGATTCACAATATTATAAACGCCATTTGGCTTAATATTTAATAATAACGTTATAAGTATCGTCACTGCGGTTGAATTTTCTCTGGGGCAGTTGTCCCATGTTTCCCCTCCATCACTGGAGCAATAGTGGACGATCCTTACTGAACTTCTGGTGCGGATAACAGTTTAAGACTAATGGAATTATCCAGCTGTATATAAAAATTCTTTTTTATTAGTTTCACTGTATTTTACATCAAAGTTGTACCTCAACATCAATTCTGCTTTGCTGTTGAAAAGGAGCAACTTACCTTATTTGCACTAATACCAGTTTTAACTTCTCGATAGCCAAGGATAGAGAAGACAACAACACCAGCAAACAGTGAGGTGCCACAGTTAATAAATACTACAGTGTAGGCATCATTCATACATTGATTGTGGTAAGGCATGTAACTGGCAAATACAATTAGAGCTCCAAAGGCTAAACTGAGAGTGAAAAACATTTGAGTAGCAGCATCTTTCCACACTTGTACATCCCCAAGTCTTTCCCAAGCATTCTGTAAGGAAGGAAAAACAAACTTCTTATTTGTTCTTTATATCTGGCAAGTATACTTAGTCTTTTTAATTTATACTATCGTTTGCATTTATGGTCTAAGGTTTGCAAATATAAGTCACTGACTTCATGTTCAAATATATACAATGCGTTATACTCACAATTGTAGACGACTAGACGAGTTTTTTCTATGGTCTGATTCGTATTTTTAACATTGAATTTATTTTATTTTATTTTATTTTATTATCAAGTATAATTGCTGTTAGCATACACTCGGGAAGTGGATAATGCTTTTCGCGTAATTGGATCGGGTTGGTCAACTCCGGATATTTGTCACTATATGATCCAGACAAAACCAAAATCTCTTTCCGTTTTGTCCTGGTTACAAACGAGCAAATGTTTTTACTAAACTTAGCTGCGGTTGCGGGAAATACGAAGAGAAAGCCACAAAGTTTTGTTTAACAGTGTGTAGAGGTATTCTTAAAATGTCTAATGATTAAAATTACTAAAAGCTTGTGAATACTATAGTGTTTTGTTTGCAACTATTAGGGGGCGGGCCATTAGAAAAGTGATAGGAGGAGGGGACTTTTTTAACTTGTACGAATATTTTTTTAAATTTTTTGCTTGTGTCGATAGTTTTTTTAAATATAATCCCTTGCACGGATTTTTTTTTAATTTTTGCTTTCCATCCCCCCTCCCCCCCCCCCATCACTTTTCTAATGGTCCACCCCTTACGCGAGCTGTAATGCAAATTGTTTTTAAAAAAATATTTTAGTTCTTCTTTGGTCATTAGTGTCGGAATATCCTTGGAATATCCTTGCAGGCTTGCACTATTCACCACCACTTCGGTGAAACATTTTAACTATATGACTACGTTAATTAAACATGTATAATCCAATGAGAGTATTTCCATTACAGGGGTACTTCAAGTATAAACGCATCCAGTACAACTAGTTATTTGACAATACCGAATGTTGCGTCCTAGGAATGTTTAATTATTTAGCTGACCTGTACTATTTGCGACTTTTACCTCAGGGCTGAAGAATGCCTTTAGACCAGTTCCGGCTCCCTCAAGTGTCACTCCACGGAAGAATAAAATTATCAAGATGATATAAGGGAATGTTGCAGTGAAATAAACCACCTATATAACAAATAATATATTATGTACAATATGTGGCACATGAAATTGATTAGTTTACCAGTTTTTCAGGTCATTTTCGAATTTAATCTTAAAAAATGAAATGACTACAAGGTTAAGTGATTACACATAACTGTCCCTATTTTTACTAACAAACTGTCACATTAAAACATAATTCAATGATAGCTGAAGAAATATGAAATTTATTTAATGTTGAGATTTCACATTTTTTCCCAAAAATCCTTATAGCATAAGGGAGCAGTCATTATTAATTGCGGGGGCGGAAGATATTTCTGAACTTGTGGTAAATGTTTCATGGCTCCTCATTCTTTCAAAATATTTTTTTTCATGGCCCCTCCTATTAGGTATAATAAATTTTCATAGTACCCCTCCCTCCCCTCTGTGATATTGAACTTGCAAGTTCACATATTTTAATTTTATTTTTAATTGAACCTTGTTATATTTAGATATTAAGCCATTTATATAGCATTGACATTTATATTACAGTGAATAATTAAACAATTATTCGTCTCAGGCTCTGTGATTATCGGGGAATATTCACCGAGACAAAGTCTCTATTGTACATTACTGTTGCCCCCTCCCGACCTTTCTCTGATATTTTTGGTAGCCCCCCCCGCCCCTAAGTGGTTAATACATTTTTGGTGCCCCCACTAATATCTTCCAGCCCTCCCCCCGGCATTAATAATGACTGCTCCCTAAAGGCTTTGTTTCTTCACTTTCGTGAAAATGATTCACTTACCTTTCCACTTGATTTGATTCCTTTAACAACGCAAAGATAAACAACAATCCATGCTAAAACCAAGCATCCGAGCAGTTTTAAGTTGACGCCTTTACTGTAATCATCAATATCGATTGAAATGTCCAGAACTTCAGTGTAAAAATACCATTGAGGTGGATCAAGAACGCAGCAGTCTTTAAATGTGGACACATTGTTTTTGCTTTCCTGGTACATTCTTTCAGAGTATTGGGATATATCATAATACGATGAGTTGTCTTTGTAAGGAGGTTTAGAATAAAATGTTTTGTTTTTAAGCCAAAATTCTTCCTCAGTTTTTAAAACTTTATATTCTGGATATTTTGTGCACAACTCATCAATCTTCCAAGGTAAATCTGGTTGCATCGAGATAAAGAAGTAGAAGATGCACCATGCAATAACAGCAACGTAATATACACAGAGCAACAGAGAAACGGCTAGGGATGCCAGCCCGACTCCAAACAATGCTGGGTGTATTTCATTCCATAGGCGGACGGCAGTCATTCGAAATTTCTGACCAATCGCGAACTCCAGCAACATCAAAGGAATCCCTTCGATAACCATGAAAATAATGTAGGGAATAAGAAAAACACCTAGATAGGAAACAGAATACTTATAAGAACACTAAATAAAACATTGAATAAAGTAGAAAAATTATTCATGCAAGACAAAGAGTATGAACAATTTGTGGTCCCAGGAGTATATCCTCAACGACGTTGTCATTCTGAGAACAAAGTTAAACTTTGGTGGCGTTACATAAGGTCAGCCTAAAAGCCATTTTCCATTGCAGTCGCTTTGCCCGCGCGGGCGGAGCGAACATTACTCAACTTTCTCTGTAGTTTTTTTTTTTAATGATTTGCCCATGTGCATGATATACTATTAATAAGTTAATAGTTAAAATGAGAAGCTTGAGTTAAATATCTATGTACATGAAGAGAAATTACAGTTATATAACATTAATTACATAGAAAGTGTATTTTGGATTTTTTCTTAAAAATGGGACGGATGTTATTTTTAAATTACTGTCAAGATTATTCCAAACGTCCACCCCTTTCACTGAAAGCGAGTGCTTGACGTAGTTAGTTCTCTGATAAGAGTTTAGTTGAGCTTCGAGTGTTGTATTAGTGAATTTGGTTGTTTGAAATAAAAAAGTTTGAGAAGAATTTTGGCAAGTTGTTTAAATGATGTTATCGGAACATAAAGAGACTTGTAAGGTAGTTATATAGCTTACCAAGATTCAAGATCTGTTGGTCAATAAATATTTTTTCAGTGTGAGAAAAATTGGACTGAAATGTCATCAGACGAATTACTTTCTTCTGAATATTTGTTAACTTTTGAATTCTTGTTTTGTAGCCTATGTGTTACTCCATATTAGATTGCCATAGATTAGATATGGATAGACTAAAGCATAGTATATTAGTTTTAAAGTATTCAAATTTGTAAAATAACGATTGTTGCAATTGTGCAATAATTCCTGCAGACTATGCAATTTTCTTTGCAACGGAATCGATATGATCGTTCCATGACAAACATTCATCAATAACTACTCCTAAAAAGGTTGTACTTTTGACTTGTTTGATATCGTCGTTATTGATGGACAACTTTACTACGTGTTTCTTTTTCTTTTTTTAGGATCGAAATAAAATAAATTTGGTTTTTGATGTGTTGATAGATAGTTGCCTAACCTGTGTATTTTTTGTCCGCCTGAATGCTCGCGGACACGCCATGAAAGTAGAACTACATTCAACTTTCTTGCATGGCGTGCCCGCGGGCGACTGATTTTTCACGTGATTAAACTTGGTCGCTCCGCTCGCGCGGGCAAAGCGACTGCAATCGAAAATGGCCTTAAAGGCCGGTTCCATTTCCTCCGCTTTGTCCACGCAGGCAAAGCGACATTTTATCGCGTGGGCTTTTTAAAATGTTGGACAATGAAAACATTTCAACGTACGGAGTTGACAGTATATTGCTGTAAACGAAAGACAAGTTAACAAAGACGTTAATGAAGTTATAATAAAGTTAATAAAGTTAACGTTTAAGTATTACAGTATTTAAAGCACGCGTAGGAATGCTTTATCAGATATATGAGCATTAGTTATGGCGTGACCACGAGTGGTTCGCTTGTGACGCGCGTGCAGGCCGTTTGAAAGTTGAAAACTGTTCAACTTTCAAAGCGTGCACGCGCGACCAAATGTTCAATACTGTCCGCTGCCCCCACGCGGGCAAAATAGCCGTAATGAAAAACAGCCTTTATAGAGGACACCCCACCATTTCAGCTCGTGAACGTAGCTGTTCGTAAGATTATCGGGAGTTGAAAGGCTTCAAGTTGCCTTCAAGCACTTACTACAGGAATCAAATTCCTTGGCCTTTATTCATAGCCTTTATTACAGGGTCGTAGCGAGGGGGGTATTGGGAATTTTTCAGAATTAATTAACATAAAGAATTGTATTGTCAGTATAAACTAATTTACGAAATCATGGCATGAACATGGATAACAATTTATAAATCGTATATCGGTAAATGTTTTTCGGTTTATTATTTTTGTAATATGTCTATGCGTAAAATGTGCGTCTAATAAAAAAATGGCTTTAATATTTATAATTTATTGCGTCTTCATTTTCCGGATAGCAAACACCTTTGTTACTTCGCCGTATGCCATGAAACATTCGGAAATGATTTTCGTCATTCGGAAATTTTTGCCCGAACCCCCACCTCCCCCCCAACTATACATGCTAGCTACGGCCCTGCTTTATTATTGAGCTAAAATTAAGACTGTGTCGTCGGGTTTGCCGCGACATAGATCTTAAATTCTCAAATTTGTTTCATGCACGAATGTCGCTGAAATTAAGGTAAAAAATTTATCGCGCGAGGGTCACAAAACTGATTTAATTGCTTATCGCCAACAACTCTGAGAGGGCACAATAAATTGTGGAACGGCAAAAATAGGAGCGGAGTTACACTTGCATTTTAAGAATTTAATAATTTTGAATTTTAAAAGTTCAATAATAAAACAGTTCACATGTTGATTGTTTTTCTCTTCGACACTTAATTGGCATGATCATAATACAGCACTCATTTAATTTACAGTGATCTACGCGACGGAGTAAGCTTTGTGACCCTTCTAACGTCCATCTTTCCATTAATCCTGCTTTGCGATGACAATTGACAACACATTAGATCAAGCCTGGATAGCAGATGCATTTGGCAAGATCCTCCTTACCACTAGCTAAATGAAACCTGCTAATGTAAGTCGAGGAAAAGGTAATTCCTTGTTACGATGACTTCCCGCATGTGCTTGGAAACTCATGTAACTAGAGTTTTTTTTTTTTTATTTTCCCCTGGGTGTTCTGATTTCACCCCGTTTTCCTCCGTCAAGAAAACAATTCTTAGTGTGGAACCCCATATCGTAAGCCTAGGATTTGTGATAATAATTATTATTATTGCCACTAGACATAGCGCCTTCATTTTTCTGACATAAAAATGGAAATATCCAGACATTTTCTAAACCAACAGGCAACAGTCAGAGCAATAGAGGCGAGAATGAACCCAGCTTTATTTTCCTAGTTCCTCATCTAATGAACCAACCTCCTCCATTTTTCTGACATAAATATGGAAATCTCCAGACATTTCCCAACCCAACGGCAAGACCAATTGAGGCGAGAATGAACTCCCATTTACTTCCCCAAGCATCACGTTCTTCATGACCATCTAGGCGATCTGTTGATTTACCATTTTGTTCCATTGTCCTTGACGTTGGTCCTGAAATGACAGTTTTATTTAAAATTATTTAATTGAAAGTAGAAGTTTCAAGAGGATCTTAAGAGGGGACTTTGGTTGTCAGCAGTTGTCTCTGAAATGTTGGCGGGGGCTTTATTACTTTTAAAGAAGCCAACTTTTTGGGGGCTTTATTACTTTTAAAGAAGGTGAAAGTGAAAAAGTTGAGAGTTTTAGAAACCATGTTTAAGAAAAATTCAACTGACACAAATTTAATATTTTCCATTCTAACTTGGAAAAATCAGGCGACCTGCTCAACTTTAAATGGCTGAATTTTAATAGTATATACTGCGTTAATTGTAATGCTTGTTAGACCTACTTGTTATATGTCCGTCGTTATTTGGTTCTTGTGTTAAAGGATATTGTTCAGCTTTAGACATGGGTTTTGCATCTACATCTTGCTGCCAAGGTAAAGTTCCTGCATATATAACAAAACAACAAAATTATTTTATCTGACAGATAAAATAAGCTCAGTTTTAAAAGCTTGGTAGAAACAATGCAAACACATTACCTCCTGTATTATAAGATGCAGAATGTCGAGGTTGGACAGAGTTCTCTGCAGAATACGGTGAATCTGTTTCGTCTAGTGATGGTGATCTATAAAATGGTGGAGATCGGCCGGGGTCTACAGGGCGATCCACTGCATAGCGTGAGGAACGTGACGTCATAATATTCTCCATTCCTTTCGGTAAGCTGATCTTTGCCGCAGGTGCTGGTTGACTTACTAAATAAGTATACAGCTACATAATAAGTAGTTCCTACAATTACGAGTGTTAGTTTTAAGTACTGATTTTTCATGCCATTGAACACATGCGTCGTCATGCGAAAACAAGCGACTATAGGACGAACTGATCGCCATGAAAAATTTCAAGCTCAACTGGAGGCATTTAATACACCATCTGTTTACATGCATTTAATCTGTTAGATGGCTTTTTGAGTCATCCTGCTGACAATTTTTGAGGTAGGAATATGAATAAATCAGGTAGGAACATTAAATATTTAAAGAAAAATATTTGTCTTGATATTATAATTTGAACAAACCTGACGGAGGTCGTTGTCCACCAATGTTTTCGAAACCCCTAGGAAGATTGACCTGGCTTCTTGTTGGACTGACCGGACCTCTTGCTGATGATGATTCTACAAAGTCAAAAGACTTTCTTGACAAAACGCTATTACTTGAACATGGTATTTTCCCAATCACAAAATGAAGAGGAATTATAGTAAATAGAATGAATAAAGTCTTCATTCACTTCAATTTTATCCACTATCAGCAGTGAGTGAGATTTCCTTACTGTACTATGGACTTATAGATGAATCAAACCAGAACTCTTGAGCGAGTCAGACAATAATACTACTTAGTTTTGGTATCAGCTTAATATTTTGTCGAAAAGAATCTTGCTTTAAAATTTTAGCGTGTGAGGCCTTCTTCAACAACAGTTATACCACGACAAAAGATGCCACATGCCCCCATCCATGGTAGCCTGCGTTCATGAAAAAATAGTAGTAGTATATGATGCGTTCGTGAAGAGAACATTAATTAGTATTGCTGCGCTCATAAAGATTCATACTGCGTTCATGAAGAAAAAATTAGTTAAATAAATGAAAAAATAGTGATTGCATGAATGGGTGTACACAGCTCATAAATTCTTGCGTATTAGTTCAATACTAGTTCAAGTAAGTCAATAGGTAGTTATAGTCTTATAGGCCAAATGGTATATCTACTAGCACAGGTGGCGTTTCGGCCAATTTAGCTTTTTGATGAAAATTCCAATTGGATACATTAAAGCTATTCCCCTACACATAATTTGTTGAACATATACAGGGTGTATAAAAAAAAACGCAACCTCGGAATTTCCCGAGAAATCGACATTGTTTTAAAGACAAAAGATTTTAGGCGCCTGGGAATGGAAAATAGCACAATTACTGTCAAAATTACTGCACACGCGAGTTGCATAAAGAAAAATTTATGCATTTATTTAATGCAAAACAACAGTAATATGATCTATTAGCAATTTGATTTCAATTCCCAGGGGCCTAAAATCTTTTATGCTTAAGAATTGCAAAGTGATTTCTTAGGAAATTCCAAGGTTGCGTGTTTTTTTATACACCCTGTATATCAGTATGATTTACCTGACGGAGTATATCGCCCTCTGGTGAACGTATTTTCCATGCCCCTCGGAAGTTGAACTCTTGTAGGACTGGCTGGAGCTCGCAATTCGAAACGTTCTCTATCTGATTCTACACGAAAACAAATATCATATATAGTGATGTAATTCATACGAAAAGACGAAACACATGCTATCACTACTGATCTCATGCGAGTTCCCATAAAACTGCCTTTTCACTTTATATAGTTTAATGCAAAATTGAAAGCACCTCGATAATCAGTTCAAACATGGGGTTCGTTTCAGAGAATATAGGTAGCTTTGAATTGAAATATTATCACTATATTGAAATTTTTGAATTGAAATTTTGAGCGGATTCTATAAACAACAATTTTTGTGATTTTGGGGAGGTTTTTAGCAGTTTGATAGGGATGTTCCGATTTTGCGGGAGTTTATGAGATATTAAATCGTTTCACGTTTGGGAACTGAATTTTCCAGATTTTGAATTTTTTGGAAGTGAACAAGGATTTCTAGTGTAACGGCATCCTTCGTTTTCTTTATCTTTATCTTTATAGGTGATTATACATCCTTCAACGAAAACATCTGATTATCATTAAATTTTAAATATTGCTGGTTCTGAATTTCCTATATTATCAACGGGAAAAATAGTGAAATCCACATCGGCATGGAATTTGCAATTGCATCACTAAATTCGGCATAGTATAACCATATTATTTCCATACTACACCCATGACCCATATAGCATGGAGGAAATTGCAATTAGTATGAAAATTGGATTTCCATACTAATTCCAACGAAGATCCATGCTATTTCCTTAGTAAGGATTTTGAGTAAAAAGTCAGTCCAGATTATATAGGACTATCAATCGAAAATATTTCAGTAAACAACTGTATTGTATACTTAATAGTTTATACTTAATTACTTAAGGAAATTCATGGACAATCCTATAGTCATCAACTGTCTTTCTAGGTTGGTTCACAGAGCAAATAAATTTATAGTGTTCAGAATCGTTTCAAGCAAAGGTTCTTTGTCAAGGTTCTTTCACTCATATGTTATTATAGGGCGTTTACTTGAGTCATACAAACTCCCTCACGAACACGGAAAAGTCTTTAATCTTTAACATATATTTGCTTGTATTTCCTCGTGATTTTTTAAAATATTTTACGGCTATACATGTATAATACGAGTCTTACGAGAAAACACTGTCAGAGCAAAACGAAACGAAACGAAATCAAAGTCCGTGATTATCAATAATTTCATTTTTCGCGCATCGGCAGTATTAAAAAGTTTCCATTCCTTATAGAGTATAACATTTTTGAAGTAATACATCCTGTGCGTACATCCAAGAATTTAACGACGACTCTTTTCAGTTGAAGTATTTTAAAAAGCTAGTTGCGTGAGCACTTGAAAGTTTAAAGTCAACAACTGCAATCATTCATACGTCCCACATAGCCTCCTCCGCAGGCCTCTCTATGGGTTGTAGCCTGCGAATGGGTTTGAAAAAAATTTTTTTTCCCACCACCCGATTCGTCGGGTGAGATGCCTGCGGAGGAGGCTACGTCCCACATACTCTCACAGTAAATCAAATCGGCTTCCGTTCGGCACAACGGGAAGTTTTCTCACCATGGCAACGAATCACCAAGACATGATTTGCATTTTATTGTATGCAGTTGTACTCAAAGTATTTGTAAATCGCGCATGCATGCATTCAAACATGAATTCACAAAATATACACTACACAAATATTTACACGACTAAACCTGTTATATGTTTGTAACCGTACTGCTACTCATAAACAACAATCGTGCTTCTTTTGTCTCGATTCTGAATCTTCCGCAGATATCGTTTTGGCCAAAAATTTTATATCATGTTTGAAATACCGAAGGCTATAATTACCGGTTTAAAATGATTGCAAAATAAAGAAATTCGTGTTATTTCACTTTTACTGAATTTTTGAAGCTGTTTATAATGAATTAGATAATATTTAATGACAAAAATAACATATTATAGGCCTATATATAAGCCCCGGTCAAACGAGAATGAGAGTTGATGAGAGTTCGCAGTCACGATTTGCTTCTGGGGACATATTTCTAGCTGTAGATTAACAAAATACAGGTTTGTTGAGTGTTTTAACAATACGATTTAATTTAAATAAAATACAAGATCATGATAGTGTTGGGAAAGCTTTAATAAGAACAGCTAACCAAGAAAATTTCTTATATATATTCACTCTCATTCTCGAACTTTAGAGAGTCTTTAGACTAGCGAAAAGAATATTATATGCGTATTTTCCATTACCGTTATAACTGCACATGCATGCATATACCATTATTATCAAAAATTTAGCAAATATTTCTCTGACTGAAGTAAGCTCTGTTAAAATACACTTAACCACTATAAACTACACTGACAAAATGAAAAGCAAACTAAACATATTTTCAGAATAGTAATATAACTGAAGCTTTCAGCGATATATGACTGATTCCTGACCGCGGAGTTGGCGGAGATCGGCCAACATTTAAGTTTTCAGATTCAGCATAAATTTAAGTACACTATTCGTTGACCCATCGATATCAAAGTTTTGATATCACATGTACAGAAAACAAACAACCGATATCATTATATATAACTGAAGGAAGATACATTTCAGAGAATATAAGCAATACAACACTGAACATAATATTGGGGTCCAAATACGCCATAAATTATATAAGATATACAATAACGGAATATCAATGACGTATCCTCATTGCCAGTAAATACATGCTACAATATAAACCTGATATCAGATGAAATATATAGCTACTACGAATACAAAACCTGAATAACTTGGCGGTCCTTGTTCGGAGGAATTGTCTTCATGATTCACATAAGTCACTCTTGCAGAAGACATTTTCTATAGTCTTAGAATTTCGTTGCTAACTGATAGGAACAAATATATGAAGAAAGAACTATCCTGCGGAGACGTATTAGTTTGTTGATAAATCAAAAAGCCACAAACATCAATTGTGGTTAGCTGGTTTTGTCTTCCTTCTTGTAAAGCGGTTCAGCAATTTACAGTCTTTCATAAGAGTTTAAAAGGCGCTTGATTGGTTCAAGTGATTCCGGTTATAAAGCCAAATTGTTCATTATCATACTCTGAGGTATTTGAAACAGCTCAAGCTCAATTCTTATGCAAATGATGTAATAATTGAAAGCCTCACTCTTTTATCGTCAGAGCGAGTTTGTAGTTTTTAACTAAAGCCTGGACCAAACGAGGCCACAGAATGCATGAGATTCTCGCTGGTGTCTAGTGGCGACTTTGGTTTGCTATATCTTAACGCTTTCCCAAAACGTATACTTGGGACATTTCCGGCGTCAAACCTTTAACCTAAAACTAAAATATTCCCGGTAGCAATAAAATAAAGGTAATGATATATCTCAATTGGATTCTATCAGCCATGGATGTTTAACAGTTTTTACAATTCACTGGGTTATCTCACTATCATGTTGGCATAATTCTTCTTACAGTATATCCATGATTCCGACAACACATAGCACGGCAAGTATAGGGCGTATACGTGAATCTTGACGGTATTTTCTTAAGTTTACCATACAATTTGAAGACAAAATTATACCGCAAAATAATTATTAATGCGTTTTTGAACGGACCAATGGGATTGTAAAATTGATCAGCCGATCCCAGCACCATTTTCGCCGACCTTCAGCTGTGAGCAAAATGCCCTGGTGACGAGGTTTCTCAACAACGTTGTCATTCCGAATACAACGTTAAACTAATATTTTCACGTCATTGGAGCAACGTGAATGCTTGTTGCGACGTTGGAGGAGTAACATAAAATCTGTCTCATGGCACACCCCCCTGTCCACATCGTCTTCTCTAAATCTGTATAATATTAAAAATAAATCTGTATAATATTAAAAACAAGTTTAGATGCTCTATATAGAGGGTTAAGTCACTGGGGCTATAGAAATAGTCACATATTTATGAATATATATATGTTACTACTACAATCACATGACAAAAAACATGACCTATTAGCCGTAGTGCTCCCCAATGCTTTCGTTCAAATTCGATGAAAAATTGGGGAAGGGGTGGAAAATGTGCAGTTCTTACAAGTCCATTTGCAGTGCAGCACTAAAACCACAAAATATGCAGCTACCAAGCTAAGTAACGAAAATATAACCTTAAAATATGTTTGTCGTTCTCTTGTGGATGCTCCAGAATTGCCAGAAATGGCCTATGATTCCCCCCGTTACATGGTTTGAATCAGTTGTTGTGGGTGGTTAAGTCTTTTATCTGTAGAGGATTTTGCAAGTCAAATCTTTCCCAGAATGCAGGAAATGTTAAGAGATTTCAAACTTTTCTGGGGAAGCATATCCACAAAATCCATCCAGTTTGTTTGGCTTGCTCCTTTCCCACCCAACCATATCATTCTGCCACCGATGCAAATTAAGAGTCCGTCATAATTTACAACTTTTGACGTACGTTAAAATGTTAATTCAGCTAGATAAAATGATTTTACTAAAATCCTCTCACATCCGCTAAACACCTGGTGCTGCTTACCGTCCTTGTCAGCAAACAGTGTTGCGTATATCTTGCCCGCGCATCTACTCATAGAAGCTACTGCACGTTGTTTTAATATAAAGCTCTATGCGACTATATCTCCCACTGAATTGCACTCAGTGATGTATCCAGGGGGAGGGATGACGGGGCCCGGCTCCCCCTGGCAAAATATTGCCCCCCTCCCTTCAGAGTTTCAAAACCTGTTCAAATTTCCTCCGGGTAAAATTTAAAGTTTTCAAACCTTCCTCAAAATAAATTAAATAAATACTAAAATATGGCTTCATCAAATCGCAATATGCTATCTAGAGTATATAAACTTAACTGATTCTTAAAGCATAAAATTCAAAAGAGATTTGTTGTTAAATGCAGTACATGATTCTAATATATAATTTGCCATAATAGTTTTGCACTTTGGACAAATTGGACAGTCCTTACCTACTACATCTACATCCTATATGATATGCTGAATGTAAAAAAATATATAAAAAAAATAAAGTCATGGACTCAAGATAATCTTTAAAATGATGGTTTCTGAATCTGTAATAAAAAGCTCAGCGGTACATGCATAAAAATTGAGATAATCAACAACTTGTTCCCGGTTGATATTAACAGGTGTGAACAAGGTTGTGCTGCCCACTGTGAACAAGTTTGTTCATAGTGGGCAACACAAGCTTCCTGTCAATATCAACTGAAGTCTGAAGATCACTGAAGTTGTTGATTTTTACGCCTGTACACATATTATATAGAGGTCAGCAGTAAAACCATAGCAACAACATTTCAGAGGTGGTATTTGATGTTTCTGTACTTGTACTTGTGGTTTTGAAAGGCATTTGAGGGTGTTTAGGTCTTTAGAAGTGTGACCCAATCGCCCAATTTCACAATCAGCGAGGCAGCGAATGCTCTGACTCACTTGTTTCCGAAGCAAAGTGCTAAATTTAAACCAAGAAGTATAGTGCCCTGCATGGCGGTTGTCACTTTATAATCAATGGCAATGTTTGGGATGGTTGAAAATCGATGGCAATGGCAATATAATCTCTATAACAGATTCTGCCAATCCTGCCATATACTTATGGTTATCTTATAGTTTGTGGGAATTGACAGTGTAGGTATCAGGTATGTAAACAATGATTTCGATTCCTGTTATTGGCGGTACAATGGTTTAAGGCCCCTCTGATGCTTGACAGAATATTTCATTTTTACAGAATATTTCAGTTATTGTCTTCTCAGTATTCTCCAATGTCATAGTCATCTGATATAGGTACTATATACAATAGTACCACCACAACATGTCAGCCTCAACTGCCTATTCAACTACGATTTATTTGTTTTACTTTTCTGGTGTTACCGACCGTTGACCACTAAACCTTCCTCGCTGGTGATGCCCGCGTGCCCGCAGCTTTTTTCAACTCTGCCCCCCTTTGGAAAAAGTCTGAACAATATACAACCATGTGCATAATGATATTTTCATTTCTTGTAATGGAAATTTTATATTTTCCTATGTTTTAAATGTTCTGGATTCGTTTGCGATTAAGTAGAGTTGTTATGTGTTAAAAGGTATATTAAAATCATCAAAACACCCCAATGCAAAATAATGAAAATGGCACTTAACCAAGCCAGAGCTCCATAAAATCCTTGCATTTTGACCGTTTAAAACTCGGGATTGAAGTAAAATTTACTGGAAAGTTGTAGATAAGAACACAGGCTATATATATAGTTCAAACGTTTGCCTGTGGATTCTGTTATACTACTGGACGGAAAACGTATCGAAGTATCGTGGTTTTGGTGTTTTCAATCGTTCTTGAAAGAAATTACGTTGAGATTACGCACGCGTGATCGTCAACGTTGCAGTTTGCTGACGTTATTTTGATTAAGTTCGCGGAGTTTTACGTGCGTAAATCATATTACGATAAATCCACGGCGAAGTGGTATGTTCTCAATCGTAAACTTGATGGCTATTCATATGTCATCTGTCTTTTCACTTTATTCCTAATCATTTGGCTGGCTAGAAGATCAAAACCTGAACTTGAGCGCTTCGGAAAAAAAACAACATCCATGAAGTCTAAGAACATTCTCATCGCTTCTGAACTAAGTCTTGCAACGATACCTGCATGATAAACTGTGTATACTTTGCACATCATGATCAACGCGAGACAATATTTTAAGAACATCCAAGTACCCTTGTAAATACCGGTATGGTTTGGAACTTCAGATAAAACGCAAGAATTTACATCTACTTCTATGTATCCTCCTTGCTGGAGATATCGCCCTAAGGCCCTTGTATAGAACTATATCGTTCAGTTCCGAGTCGCAGCATGAATCAAAGAATCAGAAATCGGAAGGACTCCCGCTATGTACATGCCTTGTTCTGAAATCCCGTAGCCAGCATGTTTTAGATAGGAAAAAGCTTTGTAATCTCTCCCGTTTTCAAGAGGTACGTGGTTTACTCTGAGGCTGTAGATCTTGTCTGGGTAACAGAAACCTGGCTCACAAAATAAAGATGTCGCGAATACTGGAATTCTCCATGACGATTACGCTATCTACAGAAAAGATCGGGAACCGCGCACTGGTGGCGAAATTGCATCCCAACCAAGAAGATCAAAGATCGAAATTCTTCCCCTTGGATTAACGAAAGTATTTTTCACGAGATAAGGAAGAAAGAAGCGGTGCGACGAAAGTAAGATCATCTTCATCTGACGCCCTTCTTGCCACGAATCAAAGTTAAGAAAATGGTCCGTGAAAGTCGTGAAAGATTTTATAACTCTTTTGATGAGAACTTTCCGACAAACCCAAAGCAATTTTGGTCCGATCTTAAAGCTAAACAAGAAACAGTTAAGTGTTCCAGACATTATGTCAATGGGAAATGCCACTGAACTTGAATCATCACAACCTTGTGCTGTGTCTATACTCCTACTGTAATTGCCAATCTATTCAATTTAGCCCTTACATCAGTTTACAACAGTGATCATAACCTGGATGAACATTTCTGTCCACCGTCATTCCACCTTCAATGTCAGGCCAGTCAGACCTCCAACTAATAACAGAAGAAGTCGCAAGAACACTCTTAGCGCTAGACATTACCAAAGCTACTGGACCTGACGGAATTCCATCTCGACTAATTCTAAAAGAAACAGCGTGGCAGATTGCACCTTCCCCAGCCTAGATTTTCAACAAGCCGTTAAGTTGTGGCGAAATACCGGATGAATGGAAATTAGCAAACATTGTTCCGGTACAAAAGAAAGGCGATAAGAGCCAAGTAGAGAACTATAGACCTATCTCCCTTCTTTCCATAATATCGAAAGTACTAGAACGTTGTGTCCAGAGAAATATATGTGATCATCTGCTGCAATTAATCAATGATAGCCAACATGGTTTTATTCCCGGAAAGTCGTGTACAACTCCGCTATTAGAGGTTCTTGACTATATTGTTTTACTTTTGGAAGGTGGCAAGAAAACTGATGTAGTCTATATGGACATGTCAAAGGCAATCGACAAAGTCAACCACAGAGATCTAATAAGCAAATTAAGGGAAATCTATGGCGTCTATGGTAAACTCCTTCGCTGGTTTGAGTCATATTTACTAAATCGCAAGCAACGTGTGACTGTGCTAGGAGCTACATATCCTCTGCGAGACCTGTCCTGTCAGGAGTTCCACAGGGTTCAATAATAGGTCCCATAGTGTTTCTACTGTATGCGAACGACCTACCAGATGCAGTAGAGCACTCCAAGATCGCCTCCTTCGCCGGAGATACGAAACTACTTAAGAAAATAGATTCCACTTCTGATGCCATCTCCTTACAAAGGGACCTGAGTTGTATGGACAATTGGTCCAACATCTTCTGTTCAGGCCTTGTCTTCAATCATGATAAATGCAAATGTCAGCGTGTAACAAGGAAAAAGAATGAAGAATCCTATCAAACACGAGTACAAGATCAATAGCAAGTCCTTGGTGAAAGAGAAAGATTTAGGCATATGGATCACGGACACGTTATAATTAAACTGGTATTAATTATTACCATACCCACAATCGCTGTGCAAAGGCAAACAAGATGCTTGCTTTCTTGCGTAGAGCTGCGACCGAAAAAAAGATGTTAAGATACGCCGCACACTGTACCTATAAATTGTTCGCTCAACGCGAGGTTACGCCACTCAAGTCTGGTCACCACAATCGATCGACTTAATTACGAGGACAGAGTGTATCCAACGACGAGCTAAAAAGTTCATCTTGAAGTTACCATTCGTGTGCGGAGAAACGTACAAAGACAGACTGATCTCCTTAGACCTACTACCAATAATTAACCTACTGCCGGCACGATATGCGAGTACCTTGACAAACAACATTATGTAGCTGTCTCGAATGAAGACCTTCCGCAACCAATTATCCCATCAAGGTTCACTAGAACCTCGGTTGACACCAACGTGCTCTCGTTCCGTCCTCGCAAATGTATATAAGACGCTAACATACCATACGCTCTTTCTTCATCAGAGTAATACCAACTTACAACTCTCTGCCAGAAGGTCTGAGGCAAAATGATCTATCGCTGGTACAATTTAGAACATTGTTGCTGGACTACTATCACGACGCTGCCAAGGAAATTATGTCGCGGACTACGCCAGAACGTGGAGAACAGTTTGCTTGAAATGTAACACATCACGCCATTAACGTGCTGCTATTAGTACATGTTATTAATCATCAGTTAGAATTTATTTATTAATTATGTGTTTTCTATATCCAAGGGCCCACAGTAATTGGTTTTAAGCTGTTGCGGTGTCCCCCCCCCCCCCTTTTTGATGTTCCCTTTTTGTTCGACCTTGAAATGTGGGCGGCTTGGTGCATTTGCTGCGTTTCGATATGTTTTGTGTAGGTCTATGCCAAGTTTTTAAGCAATTTTCCGTATTTTCCAATGTTGTGCTCATAAAATTCAAGCTATTTTAAAATGAAGACATATATGATTGTAAAATTTAAACCGTCCTAGTTTAGCGGTGCATGTTTTTGTTTTACTTTCATGTTGAGACGTAGACAGGGGCGTTGAAGTTTGCGCGTTTTGGGCCGGTTGAACAGGAATGGTTGTGTGTACGTATTGTTTGATTGTGTAATTATAGGCGAAGCTAAATAAATAAATAAATAAACGGACCCCGTAAAAGTTCATTGAACTATATTATGCATGGATAACGTGGGAGTCGAAATACATTTTCATACAATGAACAAACTTTATTCGAACTAGCACAGTGTAAAATTGCTTGGGTCCCTCCTGGGATATTTTCGGCCCTCCTCGACTAGAAATCCAAGCTACGTCACTGATTGGACTGTCAAGCATTCTTAACCAGTATTTAACACTGTTGATTAATACCTTTACATTTTTCTCAGGTTTCCTTGTCACAGTGATTTCGGTTCCCCCGTGAAATCGGTTCCCCCTCGAATAAAATTCCTCTATTATAACCGGAACTTAATGCCTATCGCAGTACCGGCAGAATTTCCCTTGTTTTGATCATTGAACTATATTTTATATACTATATAGTTCAATGGTTTTGATAAAATTAAGCGCGGGGCTTTTGTCCAAGTTTGCGATCATTAATGAAAATCTAAGTATCCAACTAAACATTGATATAGATTTTAGACTTTACATAAGTATTTCGTATCATTTCTAACAAAACTGATTGAAACTAGTATATATTATAAATACAGTATTAACATGGGTCTTGATGTCGATTTCGTGTCTGTAAAATGAGGTGTATTTCGAGGTATAAAGACAAAAAATTACCATAAGGAACAAAATTGACTAATTCAATTTCCTAATTTTTGAAAATTTTCAGCAAACAAATTCAAAATAATGATTTTATATATCAAATATTCAGATACATATGGCCGATCACTCTCCCGACGGTCGCCATGTTGGACATCAAGGGAAATTCTGCCGCCTGCCTGTACTATGATAGGCATTAAGTTCCGGTTATAATGGAGGAATTTTGTCCGAGGGGGAACCGATTTCACGGGGGGAACCGAAATCACTGTGACAGCCTCCACAATGCAGGAAATGCGGTTTGAGTGTCCCAAAATACATTTTTGTCCCGGGGGCATGCCCGCGGACGCCCACGAATTGCATGTGACTCACAATTAAGTTGCCCCCTCCCCTACTCAAAATAAAATCCTGGCGGCACCACTGCCTGGCTGATGGCCAGTCGAAGAGTTGTCGCCTGTCTCTTTGTTGAAAAATCTTTAATTACATAAACTTTCCTTATAAAAGCATAGCTGGCAGGTACGGTCAGCAAACTGCTCTTTGTCTTTGATTTAAGTTTGTTAGTGTTGGTCGACGTCAGGGGTGGGATATACCTTACACTTTCCTGATTTTTAGCAAAATGTATTACTGCTCTGCTGTCTGGTCTAATACATCCCAAAGAAATATCGAGAAGCTTCAAGCGGTCCAGAACTTTGCTGCACGTATTGTTACAGGAACAAGCCACAATCACGTGACTCCTGTTCCAGTGGCGGTGCCACGGGGAGGACTGGGGAGGACACGTCCCCCCCAGTTCTCTTCAAGGTCAATTTTCTAATTTGTCCAAATCCGGTGAGAAAAATGGGGGGAGGGGGGTACGTATGTGACATCAGTCCAGTTATGTGAATAAAAACCGGTATTAAAAGATTTACTTTTGACAAAAGACCATTTCATTATTTCATATATGCGGTATTTACCATTAGCATATTACAGGCGCTGATTTCGACCGCCGAAGGAAACCCACCATAATGGGTTAATAACTTAATATATTTAAATATAAAATTATGTTGACTTCAATTTTCCCATCAAAGTAAAGTCATAGTTTTTATATATACGTATATAATCATGAAAATATCGTGTGATTTGTTCACTTTATAATCTTCGGAATTCTGTATAATCTTACCCTAGATTTCAAAAATTTTCCGGGGGGGGCATGCCCCCGGCCCCCCCTAGAAGTGCCTCGTGCCTTTGCCGCTCGTAAATTCCCCCCCCCCCCTTTTAAAGGCTGCCGCCGCCACTGACGGGAAGTTAGAGTCGGGAAGACAGAGCGCCTTCGCTTGTAACGTCCAAGTTCTCCTTGTATTTTTGAGGTAGTTACATCCCGCTCATACCACAGTTATCATAATAATAATAATAATAATAATAATTGAGAATGACATTTTTCATCAGCAGTTGACAGTATTCGCATACCTTCCTTTTACAGAATCAGTGAAGGTAAAAAACAATTTAGAAATTGTCGATGGCGTGAGAAGGTAAGGTTTACCTTTTTAAAGGCCCATACAGACCGAGCGCGATTCGACAACACGACGCGAATTTTCAGTTTTTAAAAACAAATAAAACCGTTAACGGACAAAAATTTTACAAGTTATGCAGGCGAAATAGCTAAAATTGCTTAAGTGGTTCCGAATATTTGAAAAACATAGAAAAATACTAAAGTTAAATGTTATTGAAAATTGAAAATTCGCGTTGCGTTGCCGAATCGCGTCCGGTCTGTATAGGCCTTTAGCCCATTTCCACTCAGGAAAATTTTCCGCAGAAAGAAAATTTTGTAAAATGGGATTGGCCAACACAAATTTTCCTTCGGAAAAATATTTTGAAGTTGAAAATTTTCAACTTTAAACAATGATATGTTCGGAAAATTTTCTGCCCATGAAAATTTTTCTCGAGCGGAAATGGACATTTATTGTATCTACATTTTCTCTGTGTTTTCCTCAACTGGTTTAAAACACGTTTTCCAGTGCCTCTAAACCGTAGCCTAGGAAGGTGTCGTTGTCTGTAACTCTTTAATGTTCTGCGTTGCTGTAATAATAATTTGTTGATTTTATATTCGCAGAAGTGCATCTATGACGGACCTCGGCAGAAAGCCGTCTGGCAGCAAACTCCACCATGCCCCCTCAGATCCCGCCATTCACCGCATTAACCCAAAGAATCGCGATCCGAAAACGCACATATTTAAAACAAGGTATTTTTAGAGAACGATTTTGCTATTTTAAGGTCTTCTATTTTGTAGCTTTGAAGTTCGCCTGACTTCCAGACCATCATATCTTGAAAGACCATCATATCTTGAAAGACCATCATATCTTGAAAGACCATCATATCTTGAAAGACCATCATATCTTGAAAGACTATGATTAACCTGGCTCTAACCTTACCCCACCTTGTACCCAAGCTCTTTCCTCTTCGCTTCTAGGGAAGACCCTGGGAACCAGGTTTGCCTTACCCTACTCCCAACATTGTCCCTAACGTCACTCCTGAATTGTTGATTGATTTATTCCTAATTCTTTCTTAGAATGTTCATTCACGAAGGAGCTGTACAAAAAGTTGTATTTAGGAATGCTAACGCCAATCAATCTGAGTTACCCCAGGAATATTCAGACAGGTAGATCAGTATTTCGTCAATTATGGTAACTTTAACTAACTTTCTTTTCTTGCTGTTTCAAACTGTACTCCCTGGAGTTCCACTAAGGACGATCGCTTATTGATCCAGTGTTACTACAGGAGAAAACCTGAATTAAACTAACTTTATTTATACGGTACTAGATAGCTCTATCAGTTCTAAACTGTTCTTCCTAGAGGTCCAGTAAGGATCATTTCTTATTGATCCAGTCTTACTACAGGAGGAAACCTAAACTAAACTAACTTTATTTATACTGGATAGCTCTATCAGTTCTAAACTGTTCTTCCTATAGATTTTTAGTAAGGATAATTTTTTATTGATCCAGTGTTACTACAGGAAGAAACCTACACTAAACTAACTTTATTTATACTGGATAGCTCTATCAGTTCTAAACTGTTCTTCCTAGAGGATCATCTCTTATTGATGCAGTGATACTACAGAGAAAACCTAAACTAAACTAACTTCAGCTATTCAGTATTCATAGATTGCGTCCAATAATAAACACCGTTACATCAATGCCACCACAACTGAAGGGTACTGCTTGGTTACTCAATAAATTGTCTTTTCTTCTTTTGTAGATATTTAATTTTATTCTCTGATGTTGCTATTGTGGCGGTGGTGAGTTATACAACTTATTGATTATATCCATCGTGATGATGGTGACATGATTAACATTCTTTCTAATGAAAAATATTATTTTTTATTCTTCAGTCAGCAGGAAATGTTCTGACAGGAAATAAGTTCAAATTAAAAGAACGAATAAATTTAGAGCAGTGTTGGGTAGCTGATGCTGAAACGTTCTTACAGAAACAAGTTCCTGACGAGAGTAAGTGCTTGATAATGAACTCTTTCCGCACCAGTGAGCTCTATAGATGTCTGGAGTCATTCGACCTGTGAGAAAAGTGACGCCAAGATGGCGGCCATTGACGTCCAGTAGTTCTGAAGGTCGTAAACAGTTTTAACACGATTTCCCTCCAGCTAATTCTAGGTTTTTCTACCGGACCGTCAACGAGTTATCAGTTCGTAAAACCATATAGTGTTGTTCTTTAAATCGCTGTTGAAATACGAAATCTCGGCACACTCCTTGCTACAATCTTGGACAAAACCCTTGAGACCATTCCAGCTAATACTACAAAGTTATTGAACATTGACAAAACAAACTTTGTCTCCCCCCCCCAAGTTCAATGTTGTAAACAACGCCGAAACAACTTTTGGTAATATACCATGACACAAGTTCAACATTGAGTTGGGGGAGCGGGGACTTAAGAAGTGCAACATGATTCAACATGGAGTTTATCATAAAAATATGTGCATTTTCTATAGGGGGAAAATAGTTTCAACCAGTTATGTCTAAGATTGTAGCTTCGGTAGACTAACAGTAATATTACCTTTTACTATAGCGTTCGTGCTTGGAACTCCAAAAAGGACGTACGTGTTTCTGGCGCAATCTGTAAAAGAAAGAAACACGTGGGAGAAACTACTGCAACAACGTATTGCTGTGGAGAAAACGAAATTTCTTCAGGTACATACATGCATAGGCTACGTTTCCACCTGTACCGGATAGTTTTCCGTAGCGACGTGAAAAAACACGTATCTGTACCTTTTATAGGAACGCTATTTTCAGAGGAATTATTGCAACGGAGAGATGTTGTTTTGATCAGCTTCTGAAAGTTGTACATTCTGTATCGGATATGTGTTTTTGCGCGCCGCTGCGTTTTCTTGCACATAGCTTTACATTGAGGAACTCCGCCTGTTGATTTTGTTTGTAGCAAAGCGCAGTTTGTTTTAACGCTGTCATTTTGTAGTTATGGAAATCAAAGACAGTTCCTGACGCTATATTTATAAAGACGCCTGCCAAATCAAGAGTGGAATATCAAGCCATGGACGAGAATGGTTAGTACGATTGCATGAAGGAACTGCTACCAGTGACAAACACATCAATAACTATATAGATTCTGCGCATCTCGCTCCATAGAATTAAACGTTGAGGGTTTCGTTAGATGGAAATTTCTAGGGAAAATTAGTGGCGTTTTTAGACCTATAATGTAACATTATGACCCTCAGGTAATTGAATCTGCGACCCTGCGATTCCGGTGCAGTACTCTAACCATTGAGTTACAAAGTTCAGTTGTCAAGCTATAACCACAAGTTTTTGTATATACACTAAGGTGATGTAAGATGATTTTTGTGGATGTTGATGGGTTTTTTCAGCAAAAAACAGCAGCTGCGAAAAACGCAACCATACAGTAAGGCCTTCCGTAGGAATCAAACCACCATCATTATCACTATAACCATGACCAAGTTAACCAACAATTCTGTAACCGTTCTTAACATAACTAGCTACTGGCATTCACATTGTCACTATCACTATATTCCAATTACTATTAATGGTTCTAATCGTATTGCAGAGTTAACCCTTCATGTCAATGAAGATATCAACGTAATTGGATTTCGAGAAAACGGTCTCTGGATACCCGTAAGTTATGGTTTAAGTCGGGTTTACGATTTTTTTTGAAAATTTTTAGAACGATCTCATGAGACCTGTTCCTTATAATAAATCTTCTTTTCCAGGGATTCTACGATACATTAAACCCTTCGTATGCTTTTACCAAAGATTGGTAAGTTGGAATTCTAGCATCATGCCAAATAAAACCCATCTTAATCATCTTTTCAATATTACCTTAACACTCGTCTGCAGCAGCCAACATTTTATGATAAATTCGCTATGTATTAACGAGCTTGCTCTGTAATATGAATTCGAGGGATGGATGCAGCCATATCTGGTTGGGGAGGGGAGGGGAGAGGGGAACTGGTGAAACAACACTGACCCTGGCAGAGTGCAGCTGGTGGTAAGGGTGATAGGATATTGCCTTTCCAAATGAAAAATGGATTTGATAAGGAAATTGGCACACACCGTTTCTTATATTCACTCCTTGCCAAGATTACGAGGGTGCGCAACCCCCCCCCCCCCTCCCCTTTCGCTTAGTAAATCCATCCCTGAGATAACTTTTATCTAATATTTTTAGGTTACCTGGGGTCAATAGCATGGGGAAATTTGGTTGGTTTCCAGGTATAAATATATACACGCTTATAGCTTCATATAGACTTTTGCTTGGTAGCACTGAAAATTTATCTTTATTTATACTGGATAGCTGTATCAGTCTTAAACTGTTCTTCGATCCAGTGTTACTACAGGATGAGAGCCTTTCTTTGCCACAGTGGGAAGAAAGTGGAGTCCGCAAGGAAATTTTGCGGTGTTTGGTAGAGTCAAATTGGAAGCACTCTTCTCACATGCGAGTGAGGTGAAACTCCAATGAGACAACTGCATATTTTTGGACCAGATGCGAAAAGGACATGTACTGACAACGCACAACACCACAAGTGATCATGTGATATTCAGGAAACTAAATGAACTTTTGTTTCATTTTGTTACAGCGGAATGTATCCATGGCAATTTTCTTGACAATAAAGAGAAGTGTGTTGATCAGGTAAATTTACGTTCGTCGTAAATAAAGTGAAACATTTTTTGCGTGTGTTGTTGTTATGTACTCAGGTGAATATGTTTGTGATGTTACTCTGAGTGTGCATCCACACTGGGCAAGCAGGGAATCGAAGCCGTGACCTTCCCACAGTGGTCAGGCAAACTTTTCAGCTTGCCCGGTGTGGATGCACACACAGAGTAACACCACAAACAAAGTGAAACATGCTGGTTCTCAGAGAAGGTTTCCATCGTAACTTTGATCACTTTGTCTTTCTTAGTTCAGCTATGTACCTGTAGCCACGGCGCTTCAAATTAAACACAAAATGACGGAGCTTGTAAGTAACTGAAGGAACTTGAGATAATGCTAATCCGAGTGTCTCCACACCAGACAAGCTGAAAAATTGCTTCATCCCAAAGGGAATCGATCCTACGACCTTTGCTAGCCCTTCCACCGCTCTCAAGCAATTTTATATTTCGCCCAGTCTGTATCGGGGTCGGATAATGTTTCGCGGGCACATAAGAGTGGTTGAATGGTTATGAATGGTTATGCCGAAGACAGTCACCGACATAACCATCCAGGTTGAATGGTTATGCCGAAGACAGTCAACGGCATAACCATCTAAGTTGAATGTTTATGCCGAACGTATTCAACGGCATAAAGATCTAGGTTGAATGTTTATGCCGAACATATTCAACAGCATAAACATATAAGTTGAATGGTTATGTCGAAGACAGTCAACGGCATAACCAGTTGAATGGTTATGCACATTCAACGGCATAACTATCGATGTCATCGGCAAACCACTCGACTTGGATGGTAATGCCTTTGAATTTCATTGCCATCACCAGTCAACCTAATTCAAAAAGTTAATCATAACCATGGTTCATTTTAATCGAAAAGAGTAAGCGCGGGGCCGTGCCACATGTCACCTCTGGCATATGGTCACTACTCGGAGAAGCGTCATTTCAAATAACTTTAATTAAAACAACTGAAGGATTGCAGAAGTTATTTTATATCGGATGACGCTTCTCTGAGTAGAAATTGGAAAATTGGTTGACCGCATTGAGGATCGAACAAGCCACTCTGATTTGCTAGTCTTATTCAAATAAAGATGTATTTATAGTCCAAGCAATTTTTCAGCTTGTGTTCTGGAGCTGCAAAAGTCTAATGACTAGAGTTTTGTAGCGTAATGTCGTTCTGATTGTGTGAATGTATTTTCTGTTCTACCTTTTAGACCAACTCACAAATTCCACTAAAGTTTTTAACTTCTGTAAAAATTCACAAAGCTGACGGAACATTTCGGGTAAGATTTTACAAACAACATCAGAGATAGCATAATGAAGTTTGAACTAAATTGCCTTTTGAATTGAGAAGTTTGAACTAAATTGCCTTTTGAATTGAATTGCATATTTTCCCACCATTCTAGACATGTAAACTAAATGAAGCTACAACAACTGCAGATATTATTAAGTAAGTCGGTTTGATTTTTAAAGTAATAACGATTTTTGTACTCATTAATACACAAAGCCAATCAGCACCATACATAAACTCAAATTTCGTGTTGAATTTAACTTTACGTTTTATTGCGTTGTAGTCATCTTGATAAGCACAATCGATTGACTGGTTTAAATATCGAGAAAGATCGAATTGAATTATGGGAAGAATCAAAAGATGGTTCGGGTAAGCTGGGTTGACTGAAATTTATTGGTCTGTATTGATAACCTATTGATTTGATTGATTGATTGTATGTATAATTGATTATTGATCATATAATTGATTATTGATCATATTAATTAATTAATTTTTGACCATATAATTGATTAATTATTGTTGATCATATTTTGATTAAATTATTATTGATCATATAATTGCTTAATTATTGTTGATCATATAATTGATTGTTGATCATATAATTGATTGTTGATCAATATAATCAATATAATTAATTAATTTCTCGTTGATCATATAGTTGATTAATTTCTTATTGATCGTGATCTTTCAGTTAAACGAAAGCACAAACAAAGCGAGAAAATCTTGGAGATTCTTTCTTTCTGGGGAGAATATGATGTAAGTAAACGTTGCATTTATGATGGTATTTGGTGTGAAATCAAACGCGTGATTACAAAACTGCGGGAGTGCGATTTGTAATCACAAGTTTGTTTTCAGACCAAAATTACACGAGACGTAGTGCATTAATTCCCACTTATTATATATTTATATTCATTTTGAAATCTTAAACATTTTTGGAAACCGGAAACGTTTTTGTTTGCATAAGACACACCTCCGGTACCTTCCTGAGAACTGTAGTGTAGCAACAATAAGCGAACAAGATGAACTATAATTAGTTTCGTTACAAAAGACTGCAAAAATGTTAAAGAAATGAAGACATTCATAAAGAATAAAAAACAACACAAGTAAGTTTAAACATATTAGTTTTGGTGCAATTTTGTGCGTTTAAAATTCGGAAATACGATGGGCGAATTAAGGAAATATGATGGGCGAATTGCATTGAATTGCTCATTTGCCATATCACATGTTTCTTAAAATCGATTGGCTGTTTGAATCCTATGATTGAATGTGATTGGTTGGCTGAAATTAGTGATTGGTTGAAAGAAAGTGCGATTTCAGCGCGGAATCGCACTCCTGTGAACCAATCAGATTGCAGGAAACACCGTTGATTTCAAAGTGAATATAATAAATATATTTATGGGTTCATGCTAGGAGTATCGTTTATATTGCACGTTTGTTTATATTGGCGACTTTTCTTACCAAAAGTTGTTTTTTTGTCTTTAAGTCTCAAATTTCATTCGTGAGTCGTACGCGTGGGGTGAAGGAAGGTGTCCTAGATACTTTGTCCGTGGACTCCACGCAGTTCGAGGGCAGTCCCGAGATACGTCGTGGATCTCACACGGGGAGTCCCGCAGGCAGGTCGAGTAGTCGCAAAGAATCTTTCAAGAAATCTTCGTCTTTCTGCTAGAACGACTTTGACGAAGTTTTCAGAAATGCCATGTAATGGCACACCCGGCTTCCAGGAAGTCAATTTTACCCGGGCAGCTCTGCTCCTTGCTTACAGCATTTTTAATTTGGAGAAAAGAACGCCAATGATGAATTTCTATATGGTAGATCTCGTGACCAACGGTTGCTGAAAGGTTTATTCATTTTTAGTTCAAGTACCACTAAACCAGAAATAAGATTTTTGTATTCGTGTATTGAGATATTCGAAAAAGAAATGTAATAAATCTTTAACTGTCAAAGTTTCCAGGTATATTATTTGATGTATTGCAAGTTACCTTATTATAGGAAATTAACGATGCACTTTATTAACGCGACATCAAATTAACGCGGATTGCTTCTAGGTCTTTTAAAACATGATTATATTAACGCGAATCTGATCTCCATGGTTGACAAATTAATTAAATTAACACGAATCGGAAAATATAGACACAACAACAACAACAACAACAACAACAACAACAACAAAGGTTTAATGTTAAGAGGAGCACTGATGTTTTTAGTTTACGTTAATATGCTCTATTTTGATATTAAAAGAGTTATATAAAACAAATCTAGGTATTTTTAACTAACGATAAATTAAAATTACATACTTAAAATTAACGATCACATAAATTAACATTAATTAAATTAACGCGAATTTTTAAAATCCGCGTTAATAGTGCATCGTTAATTTTCTATAATAAGATAGTTTGCCTTTGTTTTTTGCTGCTAAAACTCAAAAAATCACAATCATATCCGGCAATTTTGACAGTGAAAAGTTTGATAAAGGCGAGGTTTTTAATACCATACAGTAAAAGTATATTACATTTCTTCTTAGACATACCAAAAATTAGATTTGAGATTAGAGACAGATTAGTTAGCGCCTTGCAATTTCCAAGTGGTATCGAATGGCTTGCATATACTGACAAATTCATTTCATACTGGAATACAACCTGATCTTTCTGGAATCAGCGTTTTCACCACTGAGCTGTTGGGATTTAGGCAGCCTAGTCCCAGTCGTTCTGAAGCAAGCGCGAGAAAAAACGTGGATGTAGTACGAGACTGAGATCTAGGTGTGACGTCACCGCTAAAGCGTTCTGCACAGCACACCCAGGCATAAAACTTTTAAGACTTATTTAAATATATCAAAGCAGCGAATAGTGAGAGAGAGCCTGGGACTAGGCTGGGATTTAGGAATACCACATGATGTAGCTCGCAAAAATTGGAGACAAATTGAATGATATATTTTTTTCAAATTTAAACTATATATATAAGAATATTCAGGCAAAATTTGTTTTGTAAATGTAGAATAATTTAATGGAGAATTTGTAAAAAGTATGCAATAATGTAATATAGTTTATATTTTAAAACAAAATTAAAAAATAAGAAATGGAACTCTATACAGTAAGTCTCATGCAATATGTATGCTAATTCAGTGTATAATTGTTATCATCTTGTAATAAGATTGATGAGGCCAACAGACTCGCAAGTCTGATATCGTCTGCACGTTAACCAGTTGTCAACAAGTTGATGACAACAAGCTCGTAACAACTTGTTCTACGAACAGCCTGTATTAATCTTGTTGGAACAACTTGTAGCAAGTCTGTTACCGTCATCAACCTTGTAACAAGGTGATAACAACTTGTTCCAGACTTGTCACAACAACTGGGAACAAGCAGTGCGAACACATCCTGATATTGGATTGACAACAACCTTGTTACAATTTGTTTGCAGATCTGTGACAATTTCTGCGTTTTTTTGGGTGTAGTCTCTATTCAGGGGCAGAAACTTGGGATATAGGGGCGCTTTCCATTTAATAACCTGACCGATCAGACACGAATTCTTTTCCCTGTGTCAATGGAAAGATCTGGTCTATGTTTCTCAAATATCTAGTGAAAATGGACCTCATTCTAATGTTATCTAAAATTTCTGGTCAGATAAGTCCGAAGCCCAAATGTTTGTGTTCCATTCAACAATTTCACCGTTCTGGCCGTGTTAATGGAAAGCACCCTAAGGCCTAGCTGTGACTAAATTTATTGAATAGTTCATTGAAATAAAATGTCTGTCTCGACATTTTTGTCAGAATCCTTACTTTTTGCTCACATCCATGACATTTATGTAAGATATACTAAATTCAATTTTAATTTCACTTGCAGACGTTCTCATTAATAATATACTTCAAATTTCGCCAAGAGAATTCACGCGCAAATGGGAAGGCTATCATTTTTGTTCTGATTGCTATACAATACTCGTGAGCCAATTAATTTTGAACTTAAGTGGACAGGCTTTTATGAGCTGTCAATAACTGGACGATGACACACAGTCAATAATTGTCATGTTGAACTTAAAAAAGTGATTGATTAAGCAATTGAAATGATATTGTTTGCCTTTAAAATTTGAGAAAGATCATTTTAAGATGACTTACTATCAATAAACACGAAATTAATTTATCTTTATATTGATTGGCATGCTTCCCATTAATCCGAGAGCAAATTCATAATTGTTCATTATACCCTTTAAGTCTGTTTTACCAGATAAAATAACATGATCAGACCTTCCCCATTAAGCCCTGATTCCACGAGCGCTTTTTGTCGGCGAAATGCGGAATATTTCGCCTGTTTCTTTTGAATTGTGAGCAATCAAGTAGAAATAATTTATTCGAGTGGTCGCAATTCAAAAGAAACAGGCGAAATATTTCGCATTTCGCCGACAAAAAGCGCTCGTGGAATCAGGGCTTAAGGCTTACAAATTTGCTTCTGTTCTGTTTCAAGCACTTATTACAATACTTGTTCTGGTAATTTGTACAGCTTTTTTGTGTCTTTGACCTTTTGACAATTATTATCCTCAAAGGAATATCAAGCCTTTTGTCTTAAATTTTCTAAATGATTTTTTGCACCTGTGGGCATATTAACAATACCCTGAAAGGCATTGTGATTATTTGGCTCGGAAAGGCTGGCTGGCCATCTGGGAAGCAGTCGAGAAGTGCGCTTCAAGAAATTGTGTTTTACGATGGACAATATGCTTGGTTCTATTCTGCTTCTGTTCTTGTCTCTGACGCAAACACTTCCTGCGAATAGTAAGTAAGGTTTGTGTGATATTTTCTTACGGGACTGGTCATTTTAGACGGTGCTTTGAACGGCACACACGAGGCACCTACCGTCGTAAAATTGTAGCTTGATTAAGGCAAGCCTCGGTTCACCGGGGCATGAGAGTTGGGTCGAAAACTCTCATCCTCATTTGATCAGCTTTAAACAGTTCCTCAGTGTTGGTAGATTCTAGATAGTGTAGAATTATAGAATACCCGTCCAAGACCAAGGTCAATCGACTTCCAATATTTGAAACGCAAACATTAGACACCTTGTTTAAATAAAGTTTTCTATCTATTTGACGAATCTCTGCAACTTTGTAGAACAAAGCGAAGAAAAGACGGAAGTGGTTTTAGATCGGATTGCCAGAGTTAACAACTTGAAGATGGGGCTGAATAATAACGAAGTGGAAACCAATGAACGTATGTACAACACAACCTCTGTACAACAATTTCCCATTTAATTTTCTGTTTATTTAAACCCGTCTGTCTTTAATTACGCCCATTTACATTTGCAATTTTTGTTGTGATTTTCTTTATGATGGATGTGAACGAGAAGATAAGTTATGAATGTTCAGATGAAGGTACACATACTCAGAACATACTCAGAACCCTACCTATATTTCTAATTTTTTTAAACTTCGTAATACTCCATATGCTTTAAGAGGTAATGGTCATAATGTGGTACAGGGTGTGTATAACAGTCGTTATTTGCATAACTCCTATAAGTATATTATTTCCCATATTTGGAATCAGTTACTACTTTCTGCCAAGTCATCTACCTCATTATCTGAATTTAGAAACCAGATTCACCAATCTGATTTACTTGGCTGTCAATGCTATGCATGCATTTAGTAGTAGTAATAGTAGTGTTAGTATATTAGTATATAGATTATTAATTAATTAATACCATGTAAATATTTTATATATTGGTAAATAGGTATTTTGTCGAGCACTTCTATCATGAGCCCCTGACTCGAGTGATTGGGCAACCACACTCTGCCATTCGACATTAAATAAATTATTCTATTCTAACATTCGTAACTTATCTACTCGTTCACATCCATCAGAAGACGAAATTCGCACTAGAACCCGCAGCAAAAATTGCCAGTGTAAAAGGACCTTTTAAAGATCTTTGCCTGCATAGATTTTTGTCCGTTTCTTTTTCTACACGTTTTCTCTTAATCAGCTGGCCAGGCAATGGGCAATTCTAGCTATAGACTAAAATCTAGGCAAGAAGAACAAAATTCATCAGCACAGCTAGAAAGAGCATGTTAAAATGAGTAAATTTGCAAAGCTTGGTTGCGAAATGTTGTAAAATGAGGAACATATAGCCCTGCGAAATTTGCAAATTTTGTATTAATTTGTATTATGCACGGGGAAAATGCACGACATTTGGGCCGAAAGTGGTGCAAATTCCCGTGCGTAATACAAATTAATACAAAATTTGCACATTTTGCAGGGCTATATTTTCCTCATTTTACAACATTTCGCAACCAAACGTTTCAAATTTACTCATTTTAACATGCTCTTTCTAGCTGTGCTGATGGATTTTGTTCTTCTTGCTTAGATTTTAGTCTATAGCTGGAATTGGCCATTAGTTAGCCTCATCACATCGCTAGCCAGGAGTGGGTTTCACAAGCACTATCGTGCAGCAGATGGTGGTCAACCTGCAGTTATAAAGATTTCGTTCCTCTTTTTAGTGAATGACGTCACTGTTCACGAAGGTGACATCATCATGAGCGACGCTCAGTACAATCATCTTGTCTCCAACGGCAATCAAAGTGATAAACGAACTACATATCATCATTATGAGTATCTCTGGAAGTCAAAAATTCTTCCGTACGAGATTGATCCAAATATGCGTAAGTATTTATTATTCATACTCGACAGTTCCAACGGTTCTTCCAAGAGGTCCAGTAAGGTCATCTCTTATTCATCCATCCCTTATTCAACCTAAACTAACTTTATTTATACTGCATAGCTCTATCAGTTCCAAACTGTTCTTCCTTGAGGTCCAGCAAGGATCATCTCTTATTCATCCAGTGTTACTACAGGAGGAAACCTAAATTAAACTAACTTTATTTATACTGCATAGCTCTATCATTTCTAAACTGTTCTTCCTAGAGGTCCAGTAAGGATCATCTCTTATTGATCCAGTATTACTACCGGAGGAAACCCAAACTAAACTAACTTTATTAATACTGGATAGCTCTATCAGTTCTAAACTGTTCTTCCTTGAGGTCCAGTAAGTATCATCTCTTATTGATCCAGTGGTACTACAGGAGGAAACCCAAACTAACTTTATTATGCTGGATAGCTCTATCATTTTGTTCTTCCTAGAGGTCCAGTAAGGATCATCTCTTATTGATCCAGTGTTCCTACAGGCGGAAACCTAAATTAAACTAACTTTATTTATACTGGATAGCTCTATCATTTCCAAACTGTTCTTCCTATAGAGGTCCAGTAAGGGTCATCTCTTATTGATCCAGTGTTACTACAGGAGGAAACCCAAACTAAACTAACTTTATTAATACTGGATAGCTCTATCAGTTCTAAACTGTTCTTCCTTGAGGTCCAGTAAGGATCATCTCTTACAGGAGGAAACCCAAACTAACTTTATTCGCCTTCTATTGACTCTGCTTTATTATACTGGATAGCTCGATTATATCTGATTATATCCGTTCTAAACTGTTCTTCCTAGAGGTCCAGTAAGGATCATCTCGTATTGATCCAGTGTTACTACAGGAGGAAACCTAAACTAAACTATAAAAAACTTTTTCTTTTGTTTTCAGCTTCAGCGACAATGAGTTTGATCGAAATGGCTGTTACAGATATCCAAGCTAAAACTTGTTTGAGTTTCAGAAAACGAATTAGTGAAAAGAATTGGATTCGTTTTACTCGACAAAGAGGGTAAGGACTTTCTCAACCTCGAAAGCCAGGCTCTCCCCCACCCCGCCCCTCCATTTGAGATATTTTTTCGGGTAGTTCAGACACAAACCACGGCAGCTTAGTATAGAATATGCTTAAATTATATCAGGCGTTTGTTTGAAAGTGCGATTCCTAAATTAGCCCACCACGTGCGTTAGGATTATCTGACATGTATAGTACAGTATTTTCACTGAATTTATTACAGGTGTTGGTCCAGTGTGGGTCGACAGTCGTATCTTGGCGCTCAGAATATCTCAATTGGAACTGGTTGCGATCTTCTTGGTATTGTACAACATGAAGTAATGCACGCTTTAGGTGAGTTTTAGTTCGAAGCATAAAAATCAAATAAACATTAAAAAACGTTTTAAAAAATTAAATAAAAAAAAAAAAAATTTGATAAATATAAAAATCATAAAAATCAAATGAACTATCTATATAAACATTTTTATGTTTATATAGATAGGTCTTACTGACAATGGCCATTCATCACAACATTCATTGATATATGATTTGTGCAATATTTGGGTAGTTTTGAGACGTACATTTGTACCCTAATGACTAATTGTTCTCTTTTGATCGGGTCATTGGGAAAGAATATCGAGAATGCATATTTGGAAAATAAGGAACTGGTAATCTTGGGTGATTTTAATATTGATTACTTAAATCCAGATTCCTTTTTAAAACACGATCTAGTAAAAACACTTCTGAATCTAAATCTAACTCAACTTGTCAAGTGTATCACCCGACCAGTGTCTAACACGTGTTTGGATCACATCTACTCAAGTCACCCAGATAGAATGCATAATGTTGTTACACTAAATGTTGGCTTGTCCGATCATCTCCCAGTATTCGCTCTCAGGCGCTTTAAGAAAACTGGAGAGCAAGGTGCAGCAGGCACTAAAATACATGAACACACATCACTCAAATACCGAAATCTAAAGTCCCTCAATAATGAATTGTTTGCTAAAGATCTTTCAGAAGCCCCGTGGGATTCAGCATTCGTGTTTGAAGATACTGATGACATTGTTGATTCGTGGTATTCCATTTTTATTAATATCCTTAACAAACACGCTCCAATAATATCGAAACGAGTTAAACGAAAGATCCAACCAAAATGGTTTACAAATGATATAACAGATGAAATTCAAATCAGAGACAGACTTCTAAAACAAGCACGTGCTCAACCTCGTACCCAGGACTAGTCGCGAATTGAAGGCGGCGACATATGTCGCCGCCTTCAATTCGCGACTAGTCCTGGGTACGAGGTTGGCACGTGCTTCCAACAACGCAAATGACTGGTCAATTTTCAAACTGGCCAAAAATAAAGTAACTCAGTTAATCCGTAATAAAAAGAAAAATTATTTTAAATCGAAAGTAAATGAACATCGAGAAAACCCAAATAAACTATGGTCATTGATTAAAGATCTGTCAAGAGTATCATTGGGAGAAAACAACGGTATTCGTCAATTAAACGAAAACGGAGAACTTGTAACGGAAAGCAGAAGCATTGCCGAAATCTTTAACTCTTTCTTTGTTAGTCAACCACAACGTCTCTTATCATCTATAAAGTCTACTTTTTGTAACGAATCTCTGCTAAACTCTCTAAAGATAAAGATAAAGTTTGAAATTCCACATATTTCTCCAGAAAAGGTACTTCAAATGCTAAATTCTATGCCAGCAAATAAAGCAACAGGTGCTGATGGATTGAGTCCTAAATTACTGAAAATTGCTGCTCCATCCATATCAAGCTCAGTCGCACGTCTCATAAACCATTGCATATCCACCAACACCTTCCCATCCAGATGGAAAGTAGCCAAAGTCACCCCAATTTTTAAGAATCAAGGAAGTGTAGAACACAAACAAAATTACAGACCAATATCTGTTCTTCCGATCCTCTCAAAATTATACGAAAGATATCTCTACAAACACTATATTCACACTTATGCAATAACAATTTCCTATATGGCCTGCAATCTGGCTTTCGCAAACGCCACTCGACTGAAACTGCTCTAATTCGCTTACTAGACCAAATCCTTCCTGACCTTGATAAAAACCACGTTACTGGCGTTGTTTTCGTAGACTACAGCAAGGCGTTTGACCTGATTGACCACCAGCTTTTATTGCAAAAGCTAAGCGCTTATGGAGTGGATGATACCTATCTCAAGATTTTCCAAAATTACCTCTCAGACAGGACACAGTTTGTAGAAATTAACGGCTTCAAATCATGTCCATTATGTATAACTTATGGTGTCCCTCAAGGTAGCATTCTTGGCCCTCTTCTCTTTCTTGCTTTCATAAATGATCTACCTCCAAACATACCTAATTCAACTGTTGATGTATACGCAGATGACACTACTTTCTCTTCAAGTTCCTACTTCTCTGTCGCGTCGACTGAATTACAAGTTAACCTTCAACACGATATAGACCAACTATGTCAGTGGTCAGACAAAAATAGAATGGTACTAAATGCTGACGAAACCAAATCAATTCTTATTACTGGTAAACGCCTTAAATCCCGAATGCAATTATCTTCCTTACCTCTTACAGCAAGTAATTCAAATATTGAACTGGTTTCTTCGCAGAAATTACTTGGTGTAATCATTGATGAATACTTGACTTTCAAAGAGCATATAAACAAACTTAGTAAAAACCTTAGTAAAAAGATCGGCCTGCTGAGAAAGATACGAAGATACTTACCACTACTTGAGAGAAAGCTATTCTACAACGCTGCCGTCAGGCCGGTTATGATGTACGGTAGTTCTATGTGGAGTTGCTGCTCGCGAAATGAGCTGCTTAAATTTTTTAAATTACAAAAAGAGCAGCTCGGGTAATTTTAGGAACTGACACTTCCTCCAGGTCAATAGCCAATTTCAATAAACTGAACTGGATACCTTTTTATGACGAAGTTAAAATTAACAAATGCACTTTAGTTTACAAGAGCCTGCATGATCAAGCTCCGCAGTATATTAAGAACTTATTTAAAACAAACAATGAAATTAATGGTAGACAAACTCGTCATGGCGAATATAATCTATAGTGTGTCCTAAATATAATTATGCAACTGAGGGAGGAAAATCTGTAACGGTCAGCAGCATTAAAATATGGAACAATCTCCCGAAGGATATTAAGACGAAACCTAGCGTTAATTCCTTTAAGTTTGCCCTTAAAAAAATACTTCTTAGAATCTTATAAGGGCATCGATCGCTTTGAATTATTATTGTGATCAGCAAGTTGTACTGTATATAATTTGTATATATAAATTTATAATCCTAAGATCTTTTACATATTTACTCTAAATAGGTTTTAGACGTTTTAAAGTAGAATTAATAACTTTGTATGTATTGTATATGAGGGCCACAGGTTTTTCAGTTATATTGCTGTCATGTGTTTTTACCCTCTTTAAATAAAGTTGTTCATTCATTCATTCATTCATTCATTCATTCGTTAGTTATGCGAGAAGAAATTACGGAATCTATTACTTGGCTGACTAAGTCACTCTTGGTGTTTTTTTCAGCAGCTCTTCCCGATATGTTGTCATTTTATGAAGAATTTCTTCCTTTGCTGCAAGCAATCACTGTTACCAAATCCAGTGGTACTAGTCACGAAAGTCGCTCCCCGTTTCAACAGGCTGCCGATATGTGCAAAGAAGTCTCGGTAAAACATGGCAATGATTTAAACAGCGTCTACGAGTTTTTAAAAACTTTGGCAAATCTCTACATGGTCTTCGGGCGCACTGAAGAAGCAATTGTTGTAGCAGAAACTGGTTTAGAAATTTGCGATTTGATGGGGGATAACAATGTCACGGATCGAATAAACAATCGCGGCAGAATGCTACTATATCTTGCCCAAATGCACCAACTAAATTCAATTAACTCGGCCTTTGATAGAAACAAAGAGCTAAATCTTGCAGAACACTATTATCTTACCGATCGAGGCTCAGCAGCGGAATTTGTACTCGAAAAGAATCTAAGCTACGCCAATTTTCTATGTGAACAAAAGCGTTTTGCGGAGGCTGATGCTGTTCTTCAGGATATGAGCAATTTAGGCAAAGAATTGTCGGATAAGTCTGTGTATTTTGCCTATTTTTCAAGCGTCTTTTATGGTCCGGGCATACAGAAAAGCGTCGAAGTTGACGGCGAGCTATTGTCAACTGTTGAACATTGTATGTACAGCACAATGGTCCGAGTGTTTGTTGGAATGAGAAAGAAGAGAGAAGCAGTAGCTGCGAGCGAGAAGCTGACAGCTAACACAGTAGTTGTTCATGATGCAATTCACGGCAAACGTCCTTCCAGTATCCCATACCTTATCGAAGCCTGCCATCGCGAGTTGTTGTCTCTTTTGAGTGAAGAAGACCGAAAACAACTTCGGAATTGTGAACTTCCGTTATCTCCAGCAAATATTTTCAAATTGTATTACATGCTTAACGAGTACACCTTGGCATTGAAATACTACACAAACGAGACGCAATCACCCGACTTGTTCGAAATGGTAATTTCATGCTTGCGCTTAGCTGGAAATGAATTAATGGAAATGGATAGAGGAGATGAATCACAGTTACACCTCATGAAATTGCTTAGAATGCTTCAAACTAAAGAGGGATTTCTTTCCTTTCATACTCAATGCGCAACCCTTGCAGGGTATTCTTTTGCATACCAATATCACATTTTCCGCTGGTTGGGATATATAATGGTATGCGTAAGAGGGAATCTTGATAGTGCAATTCAATGTTATGAACGATGCTTTGAACTGGATGAAGATTTGAGCCTTGACCAAAGCCTTGTGGCAACTCTGGCTGACCTTTATCAATCAAAAGCCTTAACATTTGACATAGAAAACCAAGATTCCTGCAAACGACAGATAAACCTTGCTCTTAATTTGTTCCCGAAGCTGCTTCAAAAGACTGCCAAATTGACACAATTTGTAGAATTGTCGTTTGGGTCACTTTTGTCGAAATTGGAACGTTATCATGAAGCTGTTGAACATTTTGAAAATGTTATTCAAGGAGCAGACGACGAAACTATGGAATGTACAGACGTAGTCAAGCCGTTGTTCGATGTTTACCTTCGTCGTGAAATTGAAGCTAGCGGCATTATTACCATCCCAGTGAAAGTCCGCGCTTTCTACGAGTTAATTTTAACGTATATGAAATTGAATGAAGTGGAAAAGCCCAAGAAGTTGCGCTTCGATTGGAGAATTATGTTGAACGTTTTCAACGCATTCCAGAGACTTCTCTGTTTCTGTCTATTGTAGGATATGCAAACAAACTAATTGGAAACAAAGAAAAAGCAGCGGAGATATTTGTTTCGGCATTGGAGATCATCCCGGGACATTTATGCAGCACAATGGTCCAAGTGTTTGTTGAAATGGGAAAGAAAAGAGAAGCAGTAGCTGCGTGCGAGAAGCTGACAGCTAACCCAGTAGTTGTTCATGATACAATTCACGAGAAACGTCCTTCCATTACCCCACACCTTATCGAAGCCTGTCATCGCGAGTTGTTGTCGCTTTTGAGTGACGAAGATCAAAAGCAACTTCAGAATTGTGAATTTCCGTTATCTCCAGCAAATATTTTCAAATTGAATTACATGCTTAACGAATACACCTTTGCACTAAAATACTACACGAACGAGACGCAATCACTCGAGATGATCGAAATGTGTAGGACAATGTTCCGAGTGTTTGTTGAAATGGGAAAGAAAAGAGAAGCAGTAGCTGCGTGCGAGAAGCTGACAGCTAACCCAGTAGTTGTTCATGATGCAATTGACGGGAAACGTCCTTCCAGTATCGCATACCTTATGGAGGCCTGTCATCGCAAGTTGTTGTCTCTTTTGAGTGATGAAGACCAAAAGCAATTTCAGAATTGTGAATTTACGTTATCTCCAGCAAATATTTTCAAATTGTATTACATGCTTAACGAATACACCTTGGCACTGAAATACTACACAAACGAGACGCAATCACCCGACTTGATCGAAATGAAAATTTCATGCTTGCGCTTAGCTGGAAATGAGTTAGTGGAAATGGATAGAGGAAATCAATCACATTTGTTCTTCACGCAATTTCTTGCAATGCTTCAAACTAAAGAGGGATTTCTGGACATGCCCTTACATGTTCAATGCGCAATTCTTGCACGATATTCTTTTGCAAATCAATATTACATTTTCCGCTCGTTGGGGTGGATAATGACATGCGAAAGAGGAAGTCTTTATGGTGCAATTCAATGTTATGAACGATGCCTTGAACTGGATGAAGATTTGACCCTCGACCAAAACCTTGTGGCAACCCTGGCTGACCTTTATCAATCAAAAGCGTTAACAGGTGACATAGAAAACCAAGATTCTTGCGAATGGCAGATGAACCTTGCTCTTAATTTGTACCAGAAGCTGCTTCAAACGACTGCCGAATTGACACCATTTGTAGAATACTCGTTTGGGTCACTTTTGTTGAAATTGGAACGTTATCATGAAGCTGTTGAACATTTTGAAAATGTTATTAAAAGAGCAGATGACGAACCTGTTGCCTCAGCTATGGTATCTACGGACATAGACAAACCGTTGGTCGACGTTTACCTTCTTCGCGAAATTGAAGCTAGAGGCAGTATTACCATCCCAGTGAAAGTCCGCGCTTTCTACGAGTTAATTTTAACGTATATGAAATTGAATGAAGTGGGAAAAGCCCAAGAAGTTGCGCTTCGATTGGAGAATTATGTTGAACGTTTCAAACGCATTCCAGAGACTTCCCTGTTTCTGTCTATTGTAGGATATGCCAATAAACTTATTGGAAACAAAGAAAAAGCCGCGGAGATATTTGTTTCTGTATTCGAGATTATCCCGGGACATTTATGCAGCACAATGGTTCTAGTGTTTGTTGAAATGGGAAAGAAAAGAGAAGCAGTAGCTGCGTGCGAGAAGCTGACAGCTAACCCAGCAGTTGTTCATGATACAATTCACGAGAAACGTCCTTCCAGTATCCCATACCTTGTCGAAGCCTGTCATCACGAGTTGTTGTCGCTTTTGAGTTATGAAGACCAAAAACAACTTCAGAATTGTGAATTTCCGTTATCTCCAGCAAATATTTTCAAATTGTATTACATGCTTAACCAATACACCTTGGCACTGAAATACTACACGAACGAGACGCAATCACCCGACTTGATCGAAATGAAAATTTCATGCTTGCGCTTAGCTGGAAATGAATTAGTGGAAATGGATAGAGGAAATGAATCACATTCATACTTCACGCAATTTCTTGCAATGCTTCAAACTAAAGAGGGATTTCTGGACAAGCCCTTTCATGTCCAGTGGGCAATCCTTGCACGATATTCTTTTGCAAATCAATATTACATTCTCCGCTCGTTAGGATGGATAATGGCATGCGAAAGAGGGAATCTTGGTGGTGCAATTCAGTGTTATGAACTATGCCTTAAACTGGATGAAGATTTTACGCTTGACCAAAACCTTGTGGCAGTCCTGGCTGAACTTTACAATGCAAACGACAGATGAACCTTGCTTTTAATTTGTACCAGAAGCTATCCCAAAAGACTGCCGAATTATCAATATTTGTAGAATGCTCGTTTGGGTCACTTTTGTTGAAATTGGAACGTTATCATGAAGCTGTTGAACATTTTGAAAATGTTATTAAAAGAAAGGATGACTCACGTATGTTCAGTACGGGCGTAGACAAGCCGTCGTTCGATGTTTATCTTCGTCGTGAAATTGAAGCTAGCGGCAGGATTATCATTTCAGTGAAGGCCCGCGCTTTCTACGAGTTAATTTTAACTTATATGAAATTGAATGAAGTGGGAAAAGCCCAAGAAGTTGCGCTTCGATTGTAGAATTATGTTGAATGTTTACAACGCACCCCAACGACTTCTCTGGCTCTGTCTAAAAACTAATTGGAACAAACTAATTGGAAACAAAGAACAAACTAATTGGAAACAAAGAAAAGCCGCGAAGATATTTGTTTCAGTATTAGATATTATCCCGGGATATTTACCAATCACAGAAGTATTGGACGGCTGCCGTGTGTGAGGCTGGACAGGATGTGAATAACGTAATTGTGAATAACATAAATCTTACTACCTTGCGACTAGGGCTGCTCCAATTAATCGATTGATCGATTAATCGATGATTTTTTTTTTGCAATCGGTTATACTTAGTGGAGAATCTTTTGTGCTTAAAACGCGCTCAAACTAAAGAACATACTTTTCTACTTGGTTCTGACTATATTCAACTTTTAAAATTTTTGACACGTTTTTCAAGCGGCAAAGAAACTTTCAAAGTATGTTTAGTGCTTTATCTGCAACATTAGATGGTACGCCAAAGAGTAACATGGTACGACAAAGAGGCACATGTCAAATTTAAATAAATCAATACGATTAATCTATATGAATCGATCATGAAAATGAACCGATGGGAGCAGCTCTACTTGCGACGCGAATGTTTGAATTTACTGGTCGACAAACGTAAAAACGCGCAAGCTGTTACAAAGGCCGGTTGTTCAAAGCTCAGCTCAAACCTCGGTTAAAATTTAACCCGCTGTTTTAGGGCTTGTCATATGGGGAAAAGTTATCCCGGTTAGCGAGAAAACATTTCGACTAGGCAAATAATTTTGTTCTGTTCATATGGAGAAACGTTATTCCGCTTACCGGGTAAAGTTTTCAGCTTGTGACGTAGCACCTAGTGTTACGCGCAAGGATTTGTAAGAAAGTTTTCCCGCTAAGCGGGAAAGTTGTGGCTATGTTGTGTTTATATGGGAAAGACATCCCGGTCACCGAGATCTCGCCTGTAAACAAACGAGATCTCATGCAGTACACGGGAAAACTTTTTGTCTCATATGAAAGCAGTGTAACTTTTCATATTATTTTCATACCAAGGCGAGATCTTGTAAGGCGAGACCTCTAAACGAAAATTGAAACAATTCTCTTATGACCCATGTATACTGATTGGTAATCATAACATCAAACAGGTAACCAATAAAAAAGTACTGGGAATTACGTTAGACGATGAACTGAGATGGCATAAACACAATGATCTTCAATGCAAAAAACTATCCAAGACCATTGCCTTATTAAGACGAGCCAAACGATTTGTTAACCAAAACGTCTTAATTAACATGTACAACTCACTAGTCTTACCTCACTTTACCTATTGCTCCAACGTGTGGAATGACAGCAGTCGTACACATACAGACAAGCTTTTAAAAATGCAAAAACGAGCGGCTAAACTAGAATTATCACAGGGTCAACTTACGAAGTAAGAACGAAAGATATATTTAATATCTTACACTGGGAACCAATTGAAACCACTCTTAAGAAAAGAGAAATGATAATGACATTTAAGGCCTTACAAGGACAACTGCCAGAATGTATGACCAACTTCTTTAAAATTTGCCTAAATGATATGTACCCATTAAGAAGTAATAACTGTAAACTTTATTTGGAAAAACCTAAAACAGACTTCTTGAAGAATTCGTTTTCATATCGAGGTGCGGCATCATGGAACAATCTTCCAAATGATGTTACCAACAACTACAAAGTGCTCTCCACAAGTAACTTCAAAACTTTAATCAACAACTATTTCTCCAATTTGGAGAGGAATAGTGTATGACAACCACTTGTGGGGCGGATTTTGATTCGAAGGAGTTATTTTTTTGGGTCTGGGAGGGTTAACATAACATACTATTTCTAGTTATATATGTGAGTCATTCTAATTTATATATAGTGTTCATTGCATGGGCTTTCTTTTTTACACAGTTAGTATGTACAATAGATTTTTCATATTTGTAAATATTCTAACGGCCCCTTGAAAAGCAGTTTAATCTGAAGGGCTACCGTTTTTAAATAAGATGAATAATAATAATAATCTCGCCTGTAAACTTGTCGAAATGTTTTCTCGCTAACCGGGATAACTTTTACCCATATGAACAGGCCCTTAGTTTCTGTATTTCTGCGTGTTTGTTTATTTCAGAGATGAAAACATCTACTGATCCGCAAAAGATTTCTCAAGAAATACTGTATTTCCAAGTTCATAAGCAAGCTTTTGGGAGGTTTGGTTTGAATTTGAGGTTAACCTAGGGTTAAGCTAATCGGCTTTCGAAAAACCGACTCCAGATCTGCAAACAAGTTGTAACAAGGTTGTTGTGAAGCCGATATCAGGATGTGTTCGCACTACTTGTTCCCAGTTGTTGTGACAAGTCTGGAACAAGTTGTTATCACCTTGTTACAAGGTTGATGACGGTAACAGACTTGCTACAAGTTGTTCCATGCATCAAGAGTGATATACAGGCTGTTCGTAACCAGTTAGCTCCAGTTGTTACGAGCTAGTTGTCATCAGACTTGTTGGAACAACTTGTTGCGAATCTGTTAACCTCATCAACCTTTGTTAGAATTTAAAAATAGTTTCTGTTTAGCAATAATTTGTTCAGGAAATGGCTGAGAAAATTGGTAAAATGGAATGTAAAACTATTCCTCGAATGCCTCGAAATAAAGTTTTTTGAAAATACACTTTTCGCTTTACAAGTTTCGAAAACACAATACAGCGTCAGGACACAATAAAAACATGACAAGATAATAACAACTTGTTCCAGAGTTGTCAACAACTGGGAACAAGCAGCGCGAACACATCTTGTTGACAAGCTGTGAGACTTCTACACGTGTATGTATGTATGTATGTATGTATGTATGTATGTTGATCAACGTCACTGCGATGACGAGAATTGTACCAAACTATGCAACAAGTACGATCGTACTCTGCGTGACCCAGTTTCGATCTTGTGCAAGTCGTTAAATGTACAAAACCTTCTAGATTTGACTTGATAAACAAATAACTAGACACTTTAGTCTCCAAATTGCATGGCAGCGTAGACTGAGTTCGCTAAATGTTTTGCTTTAATTTGGTCATGCAAGATAAACTTTATCCGAGCAAAAAATGTGTCTAGTCATGCCGTGTATAAATGAGTATAAATCTGGACAAAGCATATAGATAACTAAATGCGCAGTTTTCAAAAGTAACTATATACTCTTATTACATGATTGAGTCGGTTTTCATTGTTATTCATAAAACTGTATTTAGCATAATTACCTGTTCATTAGGTTTACGCTCTAAAAGCACGGGGAGGGATTTGATATTCAGCAGGGAAGAGCGGGGCTGATGTATAAATTTGAATTGCTCAATACACACATGAGGAGGTATATATCTAGATAAATACCTCATTAAACTATTCATAAGGTATTTATCTAGATATATACCTCATGAATAGTTTAATGAGGTATTTATTATAAGTAATAGCATGGCTTGAGGGAGATTAGTGATTAAATGGCCCCGTAACCCGAGGCAGGTTTGCGGAATTCCCGAGGGCGAAGCCCGAGGGAATTCCGCAAACCTGCCGAGGGTAAGGGGTCATTTAATCACTAATCTCCCGAAAAGCCATGCTATTAGTTTGTAATAGCATAGTTTCGCTCCCATTTAAAAAATGGACAAACATGCCCTACTTGGAATCAGCGTATTTAAGCTAAAACATTTGCTTCATTGCTTGTGGGATGTAAAAGCTTGTTGCACATGCGCACTTTTTACGCTTTAATCGGTTACGCATGCGCAATCTATCATTTAACGTACCACAACAAAACACGCTAAATATATTAGTATAAATTTGGAGACTGCACGTGCGTAATTTAAATGATGCGGCAACTCAGGGATCGGATGATAGACTATTGACGGCTCTGAGCTAACTGTTGCTGTTCCTTGCACGATTATGTGCGTGAGGCACTTGCCTAATGCGTAGTCGTCAGGGAGACAAAGGTGTGACCCTTGGTAACGGGCGATTAGTTCTAATCGCCCGCTCTAGCGGCGATTAGAACTAATCGCCCGCTACAGCGGGCGATTCGTTATTAATCGTCCCTGTTGAAACAAAAGAAACCCGGGCAACTATGCTATTATTATAAGTAATAGCATGGCTTGAGGGAGATTAGTGATTAAATGGCCCCGTAACCCGAGGCAGGTTTGCGGAATTCCCGAGGGCGAAGC